GCAGGCCTGTGACAAAGCAAAAGACTCAACAGCAGTTTCAGCCAAGACAGGCCGCTGGACAATCAGAAGTCAAACATGATACAGAAATTGCGCGCGAGGCCAGCTCTGGGGAAGATGGCCTTGGAAAACTCAATGGCTTCATCTTTTGCCGCGTGGCGACCATACAACACGACCAGCCCTCCCAAAACCTGGCTGGCCTCGGCACTTGCTGTGCATGGTGCCATCTGTGCGTGCGAGACTGTGTGAAGGTATTCGCCCAACCCTGGAGCCCAATTTGAGTAGCTCAGTGCAACCCAGCTGGTATCGAGCAAACTAATATGTCCTCGTTTTGTAGCATGTGTTAGAGCCAGCAGCAAAATCACTGGACATCAAATGTTTTGTTTTGCAACCAGAGAAGTAAAAGGCCCAAAGCGCGACAACTGCTCAATGGGCTCGTCTCATAGGGTCGCCGCGCCCCAAATTTTGCCTGATGGCCTTGTGGCTTCCTTGGGCGACTGGTATCAAACAAAAAGCCATGCGAATGGGCCCAAGTCCTAGCGGGCTCCACCACTTTTCAATCGAGAAGGGCGCCCTCTCGAATGGAGAACCTGCTTTTTGGATCACATTAGCTAGGTAAGCATGTCAAACAAATGCCAGAAAACGACCGAACCCTTTGGAGACATTGCAACACTGGCTTTGGCCAGAAAAAGTTCGCTCGACTTGCTGGATTCCCTCGACAAGTTCGGACCTCAAGCCAGGGACATTTGGCCCCAAAAAGCTCTTAAGGTTCAACAACTCAAACGTGGGCGGTTCTGAAAAAAAACATAGAGCCCATGAAAGATTCGGCTTTTTGCCGGCAGCTCGCGGTGATTTTATCCTGTGGCGATTGTCGCACCAGCACAGAGTCCCCATGACGAAAGGAGGATGCACCTCGGAAATGTGCTGTCCCCATGCATATCTGCAAGACATATTCGGACAATGAGCCTCACAAAATGATCGGCTCAGGAAGTGCCTCAGTCGCTGCGTCCAAAAACAAAACAAAAGCCATGTCCCACCCTTGGGGAGAAGTGTGAGGCCCCTCCCATTCTCACCCCCGTGCGAAAAGGTGTTTGGCAAGGTCCACGTTTCAATGCATGTGACCTCCGCCAGATTTAAGCTGCCAGATGCAAATATTGGATGCGGAAGCGAAGCTATGAAGAAGCAAGCGCATATACTAAGTACACGAAGATGGCTGATTCTTTAACCAGCATGAGCGTTCCTATACTCTAAACCAATACTAAGCTAGCAATGTTCTAGCGACGTTCCCTTCCGATCCTAAATCCAGCCGGACTTGGCGAATAAACCAATACTCAACCAATACTCAACTTACACATTTCCGAGACATGTCAGTGATTGTGCTTCGTTCAAATTCCTAGTTTGGACATTTGACATTTGAGCCCGGAAGCGGGGATGACCCAAAAGCAGCAAAGAGGACCGGGACTGAGGGACCAAGGAAAACTCATGTTTGCCCCTCCCAGGATTTGTGAATACGATGGGGGCTCTTTATTCTCAGGGGTCCGGATTACGAGGTGCCGGAGTCTGCAAAAGGCGACCTTGCTAGCTTTTGAAACTGATTTGCGAGGGGGCTGAGAAACAAAAGAACCAAAGCGACCAACACGCCCATGGCTTGAAGAGCTCGTCGCGCGGGCTCCAGTTTTGCTCTTTGCGGGCGGGGCACCTACAGCGCCCAACCGTAAGAAGGCGTGGCACCGAACCGCCATGCTACGAAGCAGAACATAATTGAACATGCCAGGTCTGGGCAAGCAACACCAAAAGAGAGTTGCTAAGCAACAGAGGGAGTCACCACGCTTGGCCTCGTTGACCTCAAGTTGAGACTTCCTGCTGAAAAGCCGACGGGATATCCCCAGCCATCTCTCATCAAAGTCCGTTGGAACCCTTTTGGAAATTTCGTGTGGTTAAGGGGCCCAGTGGTCTTCTATGCATTGTTGTGAGGGAGTGCACTGGAACCCTCTCAGTCAAAACGGTTACAATTCGTGACCAGGAGTCTCAACGCAGCTGTGGTTGCCCCCCTGGCGACAAAGAAGTCAAGTGCGCGCACCCTAAAAAATAGGAGCCACGAAGAAGTACAACCAGTTTTGGGGACACCCAAGTCTTTGCGGGCATTCACATCCGCATTGCTTGGCTCGGGAAGAAGGTTCGCCACCGTGGCTCACAGGCGTTTCTCGAAACGGTGGGCCCACGTTTGCTTTTCTGCTTGGTGTTTGAAGGGGACCAAAAGGAAACCAGCAATTTTATAGACACCCAAGATCCATGAATGCCTCTCGCGTTAGCGTCTCGAGCCTGTTTGAAGGGACTGCCTCGGGTTCATTTGGTCCCCACCTTGCCATGCATCCTGGAGATTCCTGACCACGCAACCCGCCCGCACCGTCCATGTGTTGGACTGTTGACTGTGGTTGCATGCCGTCAATCAACACCCCGTGCGGCCGGAATCGCAGTCTCGCCTAAAAGGCGGAGCAAAGCTTGCGTGTCAATCTGGGGGTCTTCTCAACATGTTGGTTGCCTTGCGGCGCTCGTTTGCAAACACCGACAATGGACCCTCTGTTTGAAGACACACGCACAGATTCAAATTCTGCGCGGCCCAACCCTGGGCGGGGTGGGCAATTGGCGCTCAAGCGCCGCGAGAACTCGGGAGGCACCCAGCCCGGGACTCTTGTCGTAGGATCCAGCGGATCAGCGCTAGCAAAGCTACTGAATCAAAGCCATAGAAAGCAAAGAGTGTCTTCTGGGCCTGAAGTCAGCCAAGGCGCTGCAAATATTAAGTGGGCGCAACTGCAATGCATATCTAGTTGGTAACATTCCATGAAACGGCCAAGGTTCTCCATACAGTATTATGTCAAAGCATGTTCACTTGAGACAATGGAAATCCGCCGACCCTCTACCTCCTGTCCTGGCCTTGCAGACGGGACCGGCGTGGGATGCAACTGGAAGGAAGCAATTGGAATCCTGATGGTTTTCCTCAAAGACACACCCGAAGCCGACGAGAAGTGGCTTTGCAGGACCGGTCCCAAGAAGACCTAGGACCCGGGGACCGGTCCTGGGACCGGTCCGCAGTCCTGGGACCAGTTTTTGCGCGGGAGGCCTGGTTAAGAGAAGGCATCCAACGTGTCCTCCTGAGCTTAAATGTGCCAAGCTCTATACTAAAAAGTAGCCCTCACCTCCTAGGTGGATAGGCCCAAAGCGTGTCATGTCCAAACACTTGACGCCAGGGCTTCCCCCCCTTGGGAGAATCAACCACCACTTTGGTTTAAGTCTGCCTCAGGGGAATCCAAACATGTCAGCCTCAGCTTCCTTCAGCACATCTTGTGAGTTGACGACCAGTTGCCCGCCTCGGTGCCTCGAGGAATCACCGCCGCGCTATGATGCATTGCCGGTATGGCGTGGGCAAGCTTCGGGCTGAGGCGGAAAACACGGCTGCCTGACGTGTGGTCAACAGGTCTGGAAATTTGCTGCGAATCTGTCTGGTATTCGGGAGTTGTTAAGAGCATGTGCCATTTGTCCAAAGCTCCCCCAAAAGGCCAGCCCTGTGGGGTTGTGGGATGGAGAGCTCGGATGAACATTGAACCTCACGTCGTAAGCTGCACTCGTTGCCGGGAGGCGTTCTGTGGCCGTCCTGGAAAGGGCATTTGCTAGGATCTTCAAGCTGCCAGTCTGTGTTTGCCTTTGGTCTCGGGTCAAGTTGACTTGATGACCAATGTCAAAGCCTGCTTGCTTTTGTTCAGCTTCAAGCATTCTATTTTAGGTGACCTCTCTCGAAACTAAGCATGGAACCAACAAAACATGCAATATGCAGCAACTTCAGCTCGTGTTTGGGGTCAGCCGAACCGGACCAGCCACATTCTACGTGCACCGTGCTTCGAAGTTGTCGAAGCACTAGGTACTCGGGGGACAACCCCATACAGGCAGTGAGCCATCTGGTCCAAGCACCTCAAAGACTTTGACTCCCACGTTGCCTTGTCCAACATCCTCACGCGATCAAGGCCTGGTGGCCACTGTTGCGCCCACTTGGCTGGCCCTACAAAATGTTAGACGAACCCTTACCCACCGGCTTGTGACCACTGGCCAACTTGCCAAGCAAAGTTACCATTCCGGGGCCATTTGGCCCATCCGCAAGAGCGGGAAACTTGCGAGGGGGCCTGCCACCACTTGCGAGCGCCTCGCCTTCTGTAAGGTCAGGTCGCTGGGGGCCCTGTCTTGGGGATGCTCTCGGCCCAAAAGTGCATGTTTTGGTGGAAGAGGCTTTCCTGGTGGAAGCCATGTGCTTAAAGATATACGCTTCAGAGGAAACAAATTGCCTCTCTGTTCAGCCTGAAGCACGCACGAAAAGACTGGAAACCATACCCCCCTTTTTGGCCATATATATAGATATATATATATATATATATATATGCTTATTGGAAAACTAGTTGGAGCCATCAAGGGGTACACCCCTGAATGACAAGAACCCTTGATCTAAGGAAGGATTGGAGGTTGTTGCAATTCCGTCCAAGCCATGGTAGCTTGATGAACAGAAACAACAAGAAACACAGCAACAGCAGCTCCGTGCTTGAGTTAGGTTAGAACAATCCCCCCGGCCCATACTACTGTAGCTGTTCTTTCTTGGCAAACCGGCGATGCCGAAAACTGATGTGTAGATGATACTTGTCTAACAAAGCTAACAAGTATACATCTATCTCTCTATTTCTGCCATTGCGTCCAGAGGGTCTTGACTGGGCAAGGCAATAAACAAACTGCCCACAAATATTCAGGGTGTATACATCTATGTACCAAACAAATTCAGAAAATTGCTTCTGCAAACTTTCCACATATCGCGTGCACCTATATATATATATATATACACTTGTGTATGTGTTCATGAGTGTCTGCGACAACTCGCCTTTGGTGTAAGTAACCTGCACCGTCCCGCCACCCCAGGACAGGTTGTAGCGTACCGAAAGGAGGAGCTCCAGCTCGGCTATTCGCCGTCAGAAAGGGCTGACGATGCGGTTAAAGCCACCCGCGCCCGCACCCCCAGAGTTCATCCTGGCTGGATGGCAAGGGGAGCAACCTTCACCACGACGAAAATACGGGTGTGGCTGCTTGTACTTAGCTCGGCGCCCAGGCAAAGAAGAGATATACCACATCATGTCTTACGTCTTCCCCAAGACGGCCCACCGCCATTCATGGCTGCTGACTTTGCTCTGCTGGGTTGGCCAAGTCGCATTTCTGGAATCCCTTCTGGAAAGCCACCGGCTAGGGCAAAGACGGGCTCCGTGTTTCACTTACTTCCAGTTGGTGACCTGCTGCTCAACACATCTCGAAACAAGCCAAACATGAAAATGCTGCTGGTTGCAAGTAGTAACCACGCTTCGGGCGTGTTCGCGTTTTTCTGCTTTTGAAATGCCTCGCTTTGTTTCCAGCAGCTTGGATTCTTGAAAGAATCGCAGAGCTTATGTCCTTTCAAAGGGACATTGGCGGAATGAGCAAGCACGAGCAAAGACAACACAAATACATGGAAAGTCAGCACGCCAGGATTGCAAGACAGTCCCCTTTTTAGGCCTCCAAATGACGTCCTTGAAAAGATGATAACCACAAGGGTACTCATCCTTGAGAGCCAGGTAGGGGACCTGAAGCTTCCAAATCTTCCCTTGGTTCAGCCAAAGGACACCAACCATGGCACCTCCAAAGCCCAAGGCTTGAAACAAACAAAGTCGTCTCCCCGTCCTGAAGACTTTCAAGTCTTTGCCTTTCGCAGCCTGGAGTTGCACGGGCAAGATGCAGCGCATTGGCCCGGAGAACTCACACATTCTTCACTATGCACCTTCATCTACACCAAGCTGTTCAGCCTTGCGTGCATTCTGGCGGCCATCCACCGCAAAATCGGGTCAAGGGATGGCTGGTAGGCGCATTGCCGCGCAAGGGAAGGGTTCTTTGTGACCTTCCGCAGGAAGAAACTTCAATAGTTCAAAGGCGGCCAACTCAATAGGCATGAAAGCAAGAGGCAAGGTGCGTGTAGAAAACAATTCAGATGCCACAATGTCCATCCTACCTCCTATGTCCACTCTTTGCTGCCTTTCTGGGTGGGTCCACAGTGAAAGCAAGAGCACTTTCGCACGGAGATGCAAGTCATGTTTTTGGGAAGCTGCACATCTTGGCCAAATATGAGAGTGCCCCAAAGTGGTTGGCCTGCTTGTAGTTTCCGGGCACCAAGACCACACCCAACGTCCTGCGCTTCACCTGCCTCAAGGTCCCAGGTGTGGGAAATGCCCTTGGAAGCAACGAACACGTCCTGCCAAGGCAATAGCGCCTGCCCAGACACACATGGTTTTCCGTGCGCTTTAGATTGCCATCTCGACAGGTGGGCGATACCTACGGGTTGTGTCTAGAGCCGGCTGCTGAAAGGCAGCGTTGGCACTTCTGGCAAACAGTGCCAGCTCTCGGTCCGTCCCCTCTCAAGTCTTTCCATGGCCGGCAAGATGTAACAGCAGGTGGGACCGAAATGGCGAATCCAAACAAGTGGCAAAGCGCCCAAACGGGCATCGAACCCCTGCCGCGCTGTTGGACAAGTCGGCCACACCAGAAAAGGAAAGCAGGAACACCCGACAAATCGAAAGCAGGATGGGCCTATCTAACCTGGAGCTTTTTGCAGTTCCCGTGAGAACTCCATCTGCCCCGGGCTCGCAGTCCTGAAGCAATCGCCCCAGCTTTGTGAGCTTTCTGTCCAGGCTCTTTAGGTCGGACTGCATAGACACCTGGCGTTCGCCAATGGACGGCCATTGGCTCCGGCGCAAGTTGTTTTACGCGCTGGATAGTGATACACATCTTGCCCGGGCCAAAGGTGAAAGATCCAAGCTAGCAGCCAAAAGTAAAGGGGTCGCCTTCGTGTCCTGTCCGTTGCCTGCATACAAATATGGCAACGCCGCCACTCTGTAGCCTTTCCAGCATCATTTCGCGGGGTTTCGGCAACTCTTCCAGCACATTGACCGGTAATGAATGCTTCAGACCTGTGCTACGTTTACGTTGCAAGCAAACTGGGCCAAAAACAAGCTCGAGTCTGCAAAACGGTGATTCTGGCCTCAGTTGCTGAGTATGCTCACATTCTGGGCACGTGAACGCGCCAACACGTTGGTCCCTGGTTGTGAACTCAGCAGGTAGGACATGTTGGGCATGCGGGGTACTGGTTGCGATGAGCTCAATGGAACGGGCATGCAAACTCTTTGGGCACGAAGAATTTTCAGGGTGGTTTTCCCCCTTCGAACTTGCGTTCTCCCGGACCCTCCGCGTGACTGTTTGAGAAGTCCTCACAAACAACCCTTTGAGGAAATGGGGAGATTGATTTTGTATGTTCTTGCGTTCATGCCAGCTCTCATGATGAGTCCAGCCCGCAAGGCGAAGTTCGGAAAGAGAGAGATGCACTGGAATGTGTGGCCAGCCAAAGTAGAGACAAATGCCCGCACTGCAACCACATCGGAAGTCGGCCAACAGACTGCCACTAGCGGAGTCACTAGCGCGCCCCAACACATCATCCCCCGCCTGATCTATGGCCCTCGCCGGGCCCTTGCATCGTGTGATCCCGTCTATAAACTCCTCAAGTGTAACCTGCGCGGCGAGCGAGCAGGCCGTGCAAACTCTAGAGGTTTTTGCACACTGGCTCCAGGAATTGCAGGGTCAGCACGTAGGTAGTAGCGCTGTGCGATGGAAGTAATTGCTGCCAGCTGTCATATTCATCAGTGGGGATAAAACATCAAACTCATCTGGAAACTCAAAAAAACTGAGGAGCATCAAAGGGCCATTGAAACGTCTGAAGTGCACATTTGGCCGGTGGAACGGACACGCCCTTTTGGTTGCTTCCGTTAAATCCTTCCCTCAACAAGTTGAAGGTCCGCCTAATAGAAAGCTTTCCCCAAAGCCCAGAATTAAGCCAATTCTAACCACAAAACCGGCAAATGTTTCCGCCAACCTCAAGCAGTGAGAGACGGATATCTGGGGGGTCTTCGCACCAGCGCTAGTCCAATACTTAACCAATATCAAGCGAGTGGGCAAATAATTTCAAACCAACTTGAAACCAACACAAATCCAAACAGATCTCACTGATTTCTGGCGTTCCAAATTCGTGCTTGAAACCAAACGATTTTTCAGGCAGCAGACCGCACCCGGGCCGAACAGGACCGAAAAGGAGAGGCGTTAAAGGACCGGAACAATGCTTTTTGAGAACACCACTGCTGGATTCACAGTTGCAGAACCACAAAAAATAACAGGCGGAACCCACCAGGCAACAGCAAATGCCAGGAGTCTTTGTGGGGACATCTGCTGTCAAGGGAGAAAGCATTGGTTCCACAGGCCATTGCGAACGCAGAACCTGACCTCTCTCAAGGTAGGGGAGGATCCGCTTGAACGTTCGAACCTCCCTTCCCAAATAGTTCTATTGCCAAAAAAAACGGTTTGGTTGGTTGGAATTGGAGGAGTAAGTCATGGGAGGTCCTCTAAACTTTAGGCAGTTGCCTACCAGGCTTATTGCCTCTGCAGCACCAAGCAAAAAACAAAAATACGTTTGCAAGGGCTGCCTTTGCGGGACATATTGGCATGCCCAAGCCATCAATCAGCCTGCATCGCTGTTTGGCATGGATCCTTTCATCAGGAGCCCGGGTGCTTTCCTCACACAGCTCAGGGAATGCCCAGGCTATGCCCCTAACATCCCCTAACCACGCAATGAGCTCACGAAAGGTTAGGTGACGTTGCCATGTTGAAGGCAGTGGCCGAGGAAACAAAACAAAACTACAATGCGCCTTGCCATCTCCATCATCAAGGAGATGAAAAAGCGCCGCGCTCTCATGCCTTGGCGCTGAAACTCGCCACATGGGCGCATTGTGCGATTACGCATCCCACAGCGCTTGACTCTAGATATTTGAATCGCCTCGCCTCATAGCTCGACATCTCCTAACCTCTCGAACGCATAGGATGCGTGGCAACACAAGCATTTCGCAACGGTGGTGTCGCGTTGGTCTGACCATGCCACGCGTTGGTTTTGTAAGGAGCAATGGGGCGGTGCTCACAACCGATCAAAGCTTGATTGCCTCATAGAACTCCTGCGCGGAGCTTTCGCGAAGCTTCAGCCCTTTCACGGAGGCTGTCTGAACATGGCAGGGCAAGCTTTCATTGCAAGAATAATACACCAAGCCGAGCGCACTTGCTTGGTAGCTCCAGCTTGGAAATTGCAACTTCTCAGAACAAGTGTAGCAAAGTGCACTTTGGCAGCTCCAGCACAAAAACGGCAAAATTTCAGTACAAGAATAATGTGAGAAGGAGGCCGCCCCTTGCATCCTGGACCCCCCCTTTTGCGGAGCTTTCGGGCCAATTCCCGCAGATTTTCGAAACTGGCAAACAGCCTGTGCACACTGGGGATCAACTGTATACTCTCGCACGGTCAACGCCTGCTCTTTTCGCGCGCTACCTGCCCAAACTCCGTCTAAACAAGTAGCCCTTTCGCGGAGTTTTGGCGGGCCGAGTTTTCGGAAACCGCTGTTTCCAGCTGTGGCGATGCAGGGCTTTCCTTTCGCGTTGAGAAAGCCGTTTAGGTAAAGATCATCGAGGAGGGCTTGGGCGCTGCTCAAAGGGACACGTCCGGATTCAGTCAAACATCAAGCACCCTCTACGGTCTCATCGTAGTTGTGGCCAAAGCACTTGGGGCTCGAGTTTTTCTCACCCATGGTGAGGAATCGCCTGAAGAAAAGGAGGCATCCTCTGCTGAAACTGGACGTCATGCATCCCTTCATGATTGTAGCAGGGCTACTCGCATGATTGAATCCCATTTGGGCTGAAAACACCAGCGTGGTCACATGGAATCCTTGCATACCAGGGCTGCACATCGACATCCAGGATCTGGAAGTAGGCTCGCACCTCGAAACTGCATGTGTTACCCGCCAGAACTGTGCATCTTGCCGGGTCATGATTCCAAAGTCTGCACTTATGAACCAATACAAAATTGAGTTCCTGGCATTAATCTAATAGTTTCTTGGTGAACTGATCCTTAATCAATCTTAGTCATGCCTTATTGACGCCTTGTTAATCGAAAGGGGCATTCCCAGAATGCCAAGTGAACTCTACCTCCCATACCAAGCCCGGAAGCAGCCGCCGGTGTCGCCAGACAGAACTACTCAAACCCGGCGCAGTGCTCAGGTGGTAGGCAACCGCCCCAGACCCTCCGGGTACCCGCCTTCGGGTTGGCCAGCATGTCCTGCAGCCTCTCTTGGGTGATCATCCCGTCCCCGTACCTGTCGGATCAACATGACTTGGTGGGCCTCATATCCTAACAAACACGAAAGTGAAGAAACATTAGTGGATGACCTTACTGTTAAAAAGGGGCTGCCATGTTTGTTGGTGTGGGGGGCATGATGTGTCAGGATTGAAGAAAATTTCCCAAGGCTGCATCCAACATCATTGTGAGGACCCCTGTGACACTGTGAGGAATGTCAAAGGCCATAGCGCGAGGACTGCTGCATGACACAGGCGCTTGAGACTCCAAACGCATGTGCCTGATGCACATCAGGAGGGCGGCCCAGATTCAATTGCATTTCCGGTTTTGGGCGGCCCTCGGGCAAACGCACAGAAGCAGCCGGCACGCACGGCCGCCGCGGCGACAGGGGCCTCAAGGCCCCCCTGCCCAAAAAAAAACAAATAGAAAATCAAAAAACCAACAACAATATGATCCCCACAAGAGAAGTCAGAAGAGCGTGTGACACACCCTGCCGGCAAGTTGGGGGCAGGGCAGCCGAAAAGAGCAGAAGCCAACTACGCCGTGAGTGCCACTACTTGAACGGTCTCAGGGCCAGCGCAGCAAGTCACAGGTGCCCGGCCGAGGGAGCGCTGTCAAGCTGGGGCTGCGACATGATACACCTCTTGGAGAATTCGAGAGTTACTTAGAAACCATATCTAAAGGAAAAGGCCCATCTTTGGGCCATGCAAGTTGTGCTCTCAGGACTGGTCTAAAGCACCTGGAAATCAAACATGCTCAGCCGCTTCCTGGTGATTTTGAAGATCATGGCTCACTCTGCCAAAAAAACTTGACACTGGCCGGCCGGTGCTTGGATGCCTCCAATTTGCTTGGCTTCTTTTGTTGCAATGCCACGCTCGCATGCCCGTCCCTCAAACCTGATCAAGCCAGGCGCACTCCCAGGTGTTTTTTCTCGGGTCCTAAACAACCGAGCCACTCGTCGATGGCTTGGAAGATGCCCTCCAAACGTTTCACGTACTGGGCCTTCTTCTTCGCACCTGGGCAAAGAAGTCGTGCACTTGAGGACCCGGGCCGATGTGGGACCCAAAAGTGTTTTGGGCTGCAGCCTTGTCTCTGGCAAGTGGCTCTTAGGGACACGTGCATTTTGGAACGAAGCGTGCCAGTAACCTGCACTCCGGGACTTGAGCTTTGATCAGCCGGTGGTTGCTCCAGATACTGGCTGCAACTCAACCAATGAAGAGGCATTCCTTTCCCGAAATGCTATTTGATTCCGTACGGGCTCAACAAAATTCCAACCTGTTGTCGAAGGACGAACCATTTCAGTTCTGCATTCCGGGCATCCGACACGATCTCATGGAAACCCTGGGGTGGGGGGCGGGGGGGTGGGGTCCCTATTTGAAAGACACATCCTATATGGCTTTGAATCGCAACGAGACAGCCCTCGGGTTTGAAAAGAAGAAAGCAAAAACCGTCTGGCATAATCCTTGGGAAGGGATGCACACACTATTCTTGAGTTCAACGTCCACGGTCCGCTGGGTCCTCCTAGTGGTGCATGTCGTCTCTTCCAAACATCTGCCCATACATGTTAAGTGTTTGAGGTAGCCCGCGATCTCTGACAGAGACACAGGGCACAAGCGGATCTGGCAAGTGAGGCATCAACGAACTTCCCAGCTGAGATTCCAGCTCTTAACAGAGGCCCCCACAGGTAGAGCCTTTGAACTGCCCAAGGGACACACCTGGAAACTACATAACCTACTCACACACACTTGAACTCCCGAGGGAGGTTGCTGAACTTCGAGTACAACTTTCGAGTACAACTTTCGAGTACAACCGGCAAATCGCAATTCAGGGGGCAAAAAGGGGGAACTTAGTTTGGGTGACCCGCCAGCTGCCATGTCAATGGCCCAGGCGCGGTCGAGCAGGTACGGTTGCACCCGGGCACCGGGGGCGTCTTCGTTGGCCGGAGACCCCCGGGCCGGCTCCGGCCCCCCTGCTGTAGGTGGTTCCAGGGTAAATCTGGAACTCGGCACACACACACACACAAAAAAAAAAGCTGCAGCAAGCCTGAATATCGCACAAAAGCAATTCACATGTCTAAACCATCTGAGGGTTGAAGACCTGTCCGAAGAACTGACAAGAAACCGATGCAATCAACATGGAAAGGGCTTGTAGTCCTTGGGGGCCGTCAAAATGAAAGGACGCCCAAAGTCAGAAACTACTCTCTATCCAATGTTGGTATCAACACCTGGCATAGAGATGAAAAAGGTCTACCCAAACAATTGTGTAAGTAGCCAACATGGCGGCTGCCCCAGTTCTGTTGTTTTTTGTTTAAGATATATATATATATATGTGTGTATTTACTGCATCTCCATCCAGGCACTCTCCGCCATGATGTGTTCGGCGTCGTTCACCGCCGCATCCAGCGTGTCCTGGGTTGGGGCTGGAGGCCCATGGTCTCGGGGCACCGGGCCCGCACAGGCACTTGGGAACCTCGTGGGCGAACCCTCTTTCGCGCGTAAGGCGAGGCTGTCCCTTTTTGAGAAACGATCTCAAGTTGGCGGGAGAACCAGTCGCGCCCAGTCCGGTCGCTCTGGCCTTCAAAAAGATCGCAGTGATTACGCGGATGATGGCAAATACAATGAGGGTCACGTAGGTGGCGTAGAACATCACATACCAAGGGTTCACCTTGTCGATCACCTCGGCCCAGTGAGTGGAACAACCCATGTGTGCAATCAGCTTGCAACCAACTTGCTGATTGCATGCCCAACACGAAAACGCATAGTGTCAAACAAATGACAACCGCGCACGCCAATATGAAGACCCCACAAAATGAACGGATGTGGTGGGAGCCAAAACCAAAGACCCATTAACTGGCCCCTAGCCCAACTTGGCTTGTGTTTGCCGTTTGCTGTTTCAAGAACATCCCATGAACTTGGCTCACCCCGGCCCACCCCGCGGCACACCGCTTTCCCCACAACATCCAGAACTTAGCGCATTTACGAATTGCGACTGCCTTGCGCGGCTAGTTCTTCTACTTGTCTGAGCCAGGTTACGAGCTCCAAAATCGTTCTGAACAACACCTCCCTTCTCAACAGCTTGGTCAGCAAGTGTGCCATTGCGTGTTGTGACAGGGATGGCCCCCAGCATTCAAAAGTGCGCCTTCGCCCAACACCCTCAATAAGCAGCCGGCGCCCCATGGCACGCCACACTCTTGGTTTTGCGTTGGGTGTGGGGGTGGGGTAGCACTTGCGTCGTCAGCAACATCTGCGCCTGTGACTTCTATCAAATCAAGCCCTACTGGCAAGCAGCTGAACACCACAAGGAACCCAACTCGCCCAACACATAGGGCTTGACGCTCTAATCTCTTGGCCAGAGGCAGTGCAAGCACCCCTCAAGGCATCCGGTCCCCACGGCACACCGCAAGTGGCACAAGTTCATGCCTCGTGGCTCAAGTTTCTTGAGGACCCAGCACTTGCCATGCAACCCCATGTGAGGTGAAGAAGGCCGAAAGGAGTAAAAATCAGTCCGCAGGTACGCAGCGCCTGCGTCTCCCATATTCTGACCGACCGCACAGAGCTCACACACACAGACACGCGCACGTTCACACGAACGTGTTCAGCAACTAGCGGCTTCCAGATCACAATCCTTCTATAGGCAACATGTTTACATATTAAGATGCACTGGCAGCGGTATCAAAAACCCATAAACATGTTAGGGTTGTTCAAAAAGAAAGGCATCCCCACTTTGAACAACCCTCATGTCCATAATTTTTGTTGTTAACCGAAATGTGTGACATAGCTTCAAGAGAACTCCCAAATGTCGGGCTTGCACTGGCTGCTGCTTGCATGCACAATGCAGCTTCGGCACCGGGCTGGCCCTGGTTGGCCAATTCCCTGCCTCAATGGCAAAGGCAATGAGGTGTAAAACAAACAGCTCAGCCCCATGTAGTTCCCCCTGGGAACCAAGCATGACATACTTGCACCCAAACAAAAGGTGCTCACCTTGGGCTATGAATGAAGCAAACCGGTATATCCAAAACCATGAGGCCATGAGGTCAACCTTTTGAGACGTGGGCAAGGTGCGAAAGTGATCTCGTAAATCGTCCACAGTGAACGAAGCGCAGTACCATAGTGAGTCCATACCTGGGCGATCGCGGGAATGCCGGAGACTCCTAACCGCACAAACAAAAGTGAGCCCTCTACGAAGGAATGGCCACAAGCAAAGTCTAAAAGTAGCCGCAACAACCTACCGACGGGACCGAGTGAGACGAGGGGCAGCTTCTTCGTTTCCCGTGAAACTCTATCTAATACAAGCTGATCCGCAATCCAAGCTTAAAGCCTGACAAACACTTGGAAAACAAAGCTGCCTCCTAATATTTCACATTCTTGCTTTGTCATTGTTGGGTTGGATTGCTTTGCAAGTCACGAAGCCAACAACCCATTCCTGCCGTGTGTCTTCGGTTAGGTGCACAAGGAACCCTCTTGCCGCCCAGTGACCAGAAAACACAACGAAACAGAAAAAGGTTGACAGAAAACACTTGAACACTTCTCTGAGGGGCCTCGGGAGTTTGTTTTCCCCGGCTTGAATTTGGAAGCAGTTGCTTTCTCCTTTAGTGGGGTTAAAAGCTCTGTGAACCAACACAAGCTTGACGTTTTGCATTTTAGGGTCTTTGGGTCCTGGTGTGTAAAGAGGGTTGCCAAAACAGAACGGGCGGCCATGAGGGCCCCTGTGTTTGCCGATTTCGGGGAATTCCAATCTGAAGCCAAGCCCGTGCGCAGGCTCGGAGGAGCCGAACCCAAACCCCCGCGTGCGTCGCGCCAGGGTGCCCATTGTCGGTCCTCCAGTGGCCCCGAATCCTCCGTGACGAACCTGCGACGCCAAAGCATGGGACTCAGGACCTCTAGATTCCGTGTGCGGATGAAATTGTACTTGGTAAGTGGTGAATGGAAATGAATGCTTCAACCTAGATTCCGTGCGACAGTTTGGGGATCATCGTTCATGCGGCACCTTAAGGCCCCCCATCACTGCAATCTATGCACACGAAGAATTGAAAGGAAGTACGCGTTTTTGTCCGGAAGGCACCACCCATGTTTGTTTGCAGCAGGAGCCCTTCATTTCCAAACGTGCCTCAAGGGTGACCCTGCATAATTCATGCACCAGACCAATGGATCGATGTTCCCGAGGTTTCATACTCAGCTCAGGGATTTCAGAAGGAATTCAAACAAGTCAAGCGCTGTCTTGGGCCAAGACCGAACTTGGGGACTTTCATGAAATCCCACCCTTTTCCCCGATGGCCCGACATTTACCTAAAACCGGCAGAATTGTTTTGCCAGTTCCACCACACCAACCAGACACCAGCCGGCGTCAAAAACAACAACCCTGGCTTGAGAAATGTTAAACATCAACATCACGCGGTGGTTAAAACGGTCAAAAGGATGAATTAACACGAAATCAGTTGGGCGGAAACACAAAAACAACTAGAGATGTTGGATCTGAAAACGTGCAAGGCAGCCACCAACACAACATATTGATTGCAAAGTTCGCCAGCTCAGGGATTGACTCAGATTGATCACCATACGTGCTCGTTGTGTCAACGGAGCTGTGAGTCACGGGTTCAATCCCAAACCCGGCGGATGTGCTGGATGTGAATATGCCTTTGCGTCATTGGCTGGGGCCTTCAAACAATATGCAGCCTCTAAACTAACTGCTTCATTTTAGCAAATGCCCCCACAAAGTTTACTGGTTCCAAAGGACAATGATTGAAAACCAAAAAGCAACAAGGTCAAAAAAGCAAGCCAAGTCCGGTAATGAATGTTGTTCGCCTTGCAAAATCAGGACTGATTGCTTTCCCTTTCAAACACTTCGGATCCTTGGAAGCCCGTTGGCACAGCGGTCGCGTTGTTTGATCGTGCCGAGGCGCTCTTGGAGGAGGTTGCCCAGGATGAGGGCACTCATGGACCTCAGCTCAGGGGCCAAGCTACGTAAGCCGGCTCTTGGGATTGCTTCCAAGAGAAAACCACCCACTGGTGCTTTAGGAAGCCAAAGGAAACCCCCAACCACTTTAGGGTGATACCAGTGAAGAACACTTTGAGGGTGCTACATCATTTACCAATTGCCTTCACCCCCTATGCTCCGTTCATTTGGCAAGTGGACTCCAAGGACTGCTGAGGTCTCAAACCCTTGATGTGTCGAGCCAACCACTTTGAAGAAACACAGCCCTGGCTTTCCGACTTTTGGGATTCAAGCCCCGGACAAAACCTAAAGTTGCCCGCAAGAGACATCGACAGGATGGTCCAACAATGCACTGCAAACATCCGTGGCATGAAATCCAAGTGGGCCGCCCCCTGCGTGTCCCAACTAGACACAAATGCAGCCTGGAACGAATAGTTGGCGAACGAATAGTTGGCATGTACTGCAATCATCTGCACCAAGCTTGAATCACATGCCTGCGGAGTTCATCAAGGTCCTGCTTGCTAACCGTGCGCTACTCACTTCGTGGTAGATGTGCCAAGGGCATGCGTCAGAGTTGAGCAGCACCCAAAACCTGATAACTTTTCCTCCCAGAAAGATGGCTATAGAATGTTTTTGGGTGAAGTTATACTTTGCCAGCCTGGACAAAAGAGACCCACAAGAAACAAACTGTCATGTGTGAGGGCGTAAACCCCCTTTTTAAAGCCCCTTCCTTTTTAACAAGTAACTCCACATGAACAATTCGGCACTGGATGTTGGACAAACCTCAGGGGTTCGTTCCGGACCCGTCTTTTTTTTTGAGGCGTCGAAGCCGCATGAGCACGAAGAGCAGCAGCATGGACCAGGCCAGGGACGGCAGAAACGTCTGGCAGGCGTTCACCAGGACCCGGAGCCCCCGGAAGAGCCTCAGGGTCCTGGCGATGCGCGGCCGAAGCCGGCTAGCGGCTAGGGGCAAGGCCGCTTCGAGGTTCGTAACGCACACGTTGCCCATCTCCCTCGATTTACATATGGGATGAACATATGTTCAAATCACCCAAGGGTGCGGCAAGCATCGTGAAATTATTTGGGACGGTGGGTCCCATAAATTGCTTGGAAGCGCTTTAAGGCACTTTTGGAGCTCAGATTGAAGACTACCAGCACTCTAGCCCACAAATCTTCAATCCAGGTCGAAGCCCCCAAAGCGCTTTCTTCAAAGTGCCGCAAAGCGCCTCCATTCAAGTAGCTGCTCCTGGGTTTAATAATGAAATTCTAGCGTCCTGTGAATCTGCAATCTTCCATCTTGGATGCAAGTGGTTTGAAGCATGTGGAGTGCTTTCTTTTGCGCAAATACTGTCACAGCAAGATTCGCACCTGTCTGTGCACGAGAAGTTGGCAGACTTGCGCAGAAGATTTGCAAAGACATTGCGGACACAGGGCACGCTCCTTCAAGCAAAGGTATGCCAATTGGACCAAGAAAAAACAAGCTGGTCAATGACAATCTCTATCCAGCAAAAGAGCTGCCAAAAATGAGCAAAATGCTGGTAGCATCTACCTAGCATGCCGCAACTTCTCCTGTCCCGGTGTCTCTGCATGTGTGTGTGTGCGCATGAATGCAGAACACATTGCATTACATGTGTTTACATATCAAAAGCCAGATCCAAAAAGGCGCCCACAGTTGCGCATTCACTTGCGGGTTCCAAGAATTGAGGAACTTCTGGAGGGTGGACTTTTGGGGGGTTAGGAAATGGAGGAACACCTGGGTGGCCTTCCAAGCCCAAAGCCAAGGGCTTCGGAAGGTCCCCTTGTCCCAAGTCCCCTCCAAGCCTCACCATCCGCAGGGATCGCAGGGACTTCAAGGTGCGGAAGAGGCGCAGCAGCGTGATGTTCCGGGCCGCGGAGTTGCTGTCCGACATCGGCATCTGCATCGCATTTCCGGCTTTTGGATCGGGTGAGATAGGGGGGTTGGGGGTGTGGTGGGATGGGGATTGGGGGAAGGGAGGAAGGGGGGTGGGATGGGGATTGGGGGGTGGGGGGCGGGAGGGGGGGAAGATTGGAGGGGGGAGATGGCCACCTCTTCTTTGGTTACAGTCCACTTTCTGCTATGGAAATCACACATTGGGGCGAGGCATTTTAAATTACATATTCATTGCCCAGTGGTGCTTCTGTTTGTTTTAATTGCCAATTTGGCGCCAGCAGCATCATCTCTCTCTCTCTCTCTTTCTCTCTCTCTCTCTCTCTCTCTCTCTCTCTCTCTCTCTCTCTCTCTTTGAGAGAGGCCCTTCTCGGTTTCCATGAAAAGGGTGATGCCGATTTCCTCAACAGAAGCTAGCGAAAAGGATCCCTACATACGCTCGCCAGTTGAAGGGCAACGATAAAAAATGTCCCCTTACCCAATGATGCCGACCAAAGGAAATATATCGAAAGCCACCTGCACAAGGAGAAGCTAGGGTAGCAAGTGTCAGAAGGAGCTCTGGCATGTTGGCCATTGTCTTGGGGGGAAAGGGTCTGCACACAAACGAACAGAACTACTTCAACCTGGAAAGGAAAAATGGAGCCGTTGGATCACTGAGGAACAGCCCTTGGAACAACTAGGGCGGTGCGTCACGAACCTTTGCACTTCACCTGTGCTATTGTTGCAGGTCCTTTGCATGGATCTGCTTTGCGGGTAATTGGGAACATACTTTCCGGGAGCAACAAAGAAAATGATCGGTGTTCGTCCCAAGTCAGGCTAAGCTACTGCTGAACAAATGTCGGCTTATAGTGCTACAAAAGTAGCTTATTCACTTATTTACCCGGGGCAAACCTTTTAACCTTGCCGCCTCTGTTGCGCTTCTAGACGTTCAGAGGAACGTTTATTTCAAAGGGCCTCCTGGTGTGGGTCTGAGTCTGGTGAGATGAGCAAAAGTTTACAGAAACTCCACTTCTGAAATGCCCGGGACTGGGTCTAACAATCACGGGTTCGCCTCGCTGCGGGTTTTTCCCTATTTATCCAGACGCCAAGACCTGACCTTTCAATGGCGCATGTGCAAACAGTCTTTCACCCTGACATATTTCACAGAGGCAGGGCAGGAGGAGAGAACGGGCGAATCACTCATGTAACTCTAGGCTTGGACATTGGAGATAGCGCTGCCAGCCACAAAACGCGGAATCAACTTGCGAACTGGTTTTGAACATCCGATCTGCAGCAAATTACTAAAATGCACCAATCTGAGCTAAAGGGCCGCAAGTAGTGGCCCTCATAGATGAGCATGACACGTCAAACATGAGTTGCCTCGCTTACCAAGCGCAGAGCTTGACTGACGCCAGCAAGTCTCACCAACTTGCCGAGTCCGATTCCACCGGCGAAATTTGCAATGTGGCCGTCTCTGACATGCAAGGGGCACCTGACCCGAAGAAACGCTCACCTCAGCAAGCAAGCACCATAATGGATCCCTGGTTAGGGGCTGCCTGAGACTGGCAGGGAGAAAGTCCTAGATAAGACCTTCGTCAAACCTCCCTGATTGATGCAACCTCGCAAGAAGTTTCAAGATTCCCCGGCAGCAAAACAATTGCAGCGCAACAATTGTAGCCATATCTATCACGCCTTCCCCCAAAACCGGAAAACTCACCACGACGGTGACAGGCCCCTCGCCCCACCCTTGCCGTGGCGCAATCACATACACGTCAAAGAAGCCGACCAGGACCAGCATGAGGTCGAACCAATTATATGCAGACCTCTGCAAGCACGTTCATCTTTCCAAAATGTTGTGGGCCCCCAATATCGTGGCTCGGGCATCTGTGGCGACCGGCCCTGCGCGAACACTTTAAACCTTGTTGTTGTTGGTGGGTGGGCGTGACCCGAACAAACTTAAAGGCTAAAGATCCAGCCAACAAGCAGTCATTGAGTGCAATACATCTGGGACGAATTGAAGTTTATAATGGGTTCCACTGGCCAAGCCGAATGAAAACCCTTGCATTCCCAGAACTCCAAGCAACATCTCTGCCCTCTCGTGATTCTCCAAGCCTGCATGACGGTAGATACAAAGAATCGTGTGTAGTTTCTGGAGCTTGTGTTTCAAAGAAGCCAGGCCTTGCTCCGTTCAGTAAGCATCCTTTGCCCTCTGTTTGCAGGCCCAGCAACAGAAGCACCAAAGAGAGTTTCAAAAGCTGCCCGGCAACTCATGTGAAGATCCCCCCCTCAGCCTGTGGAACCTTTGGCAATCCGCCACCACACGCACCAGCAACTCCGCCAGAAAGATGTAGACCTTTGCATGGCTTGTGCGTGTGCCCCTCTAAGGGTTCCTGTTCTGCGTGGTGGTACAGGGCCCTCCCCTTGGAGACACACCCACTTGCAAAGGATCAGGACCAAACAACAACAAGATCAGCGTTTGGGTTGCCATGCCTAAAATCAGACTAAGGCCAGAAACCAGCAGGTCGAAAGGTCGCCATCCTTTGACCACAACCCCCCCCCCAAAAAAAAGCCGTCCTTTGGCCACCAAAAAAAAATGCATTCTCATAACTAGCCGTAGCCAAAGCCCGGAGATGCTTCCCTTGCTGACTGAAGCCATTGGGAGACAGGCCGCGAACATCACGTCCAGCACGCGGAAGGCGGGCTTCATGGCCTCCCAGTTCGTGCTCGGCGACAGGTCCAGCCTAGGAACTTGCTGGACATGGCGACTGAGTCCTTCCCGAGATGGCCCCAAAAGAAGTCCAGTTTGTTTTTGTTAATCTGCCACTAGAATGGTCTTCCCTTAAGAAGTTTGTTTAAAGTCCAAGAACTTCGAAACTGGGGCAAGTTTCCAAAAAAAGAAAAAAGAAGAAAAAGAGCAAACCGAGAGAGATGTCGCAGTCGGAATTTCCGACGCCATTGAAACTGTATTTGAGCCCATCGGTGTGCCTCTCGGCCCGAAGCCTGGCCTTCAGCAACCGGATTCGAGTGAAGCTAGGCCGGAAACCCATGGTGAAGCTCCAGCGAAAAGTCCAGGGCGGCAGGGCTTACACCAAAACATGCAAACATCCGACTCAAACACTTCGGCTACACCTTGGGCCTTCGGGCTGCAACAATTGCACATTTCTGACCGCCCCTTGGGATGCAGTTCCTGCAGTTGCCGGGAAGTCTGCAAATCTTCTAGCCCAAAGGCGCTGGCAAGGCAGAGCAAAGACGCCTAACTGCAGGAACTGCAGCGCAACTGGCCTGATTCTCCGGCCACCCCATACCTAAACCTCAACCAGACCAGAATGAAACTCCCAGTCAAATTCTACAAACACGTGAGTCAAACTACAACCCAAGCCTGAAATCCTCGAACCGAGCCCCTGACGTTGCCGTATGCCCGGCGTGTAGCGGCTTGATCCCGTGTAGGCGAGGCCCAGGGTACCCCCACAGCCGTCGGTTTTTGGGGGGTCGCAGCCTGCCAAGGGCCGAGGCGCGCGTGGCCGTTGGCACGGCCCTCCAGCTCCAACTCCACGGCCATGATCACTGAGTTCATCAGCACCAGTCTGGGCAAAGTAATGGAACCAAGTGGATGGTGGGGTATGGTGGGGTATGGTGGAGTGGGGTGGATGGTGGGGTATGGTGGGGTGGATGGTGGGGTGGATGGTGGGGTCTGGTGGGGTGGGGGTGGGGTGAGATATGAGATCAGGGGTAGAACCGTAGTTGGGTATTTAGTGGGGACCTTGTTAGTGGACAGGAATGAGCCGCCGTGTAAGATGTCCAAAGCCGGGAAAAGTGGGGAGCCAAAACGCAAACAACTCACGGGCTCGACTTCGTCATATCTGCGGTTTGCGAACGAATGTCAATCTCTGCATGTCGACAATCATGAATATTGGCCTGTGCCATAGGAACTGAGACGAGGGACACGGGCAACCAAAAATGGTGAAACGCCCTGACAAGTCTTGTGATGTCTCAGGCGCAAGGGCACACATGGTGGTGACGAACCCTGTCAAGGGTTTCAAGTAATAGGGGCAAACATGTCAGAAAGCCTGTGAAGACAAAAAAAAAAAAACATGTACAGCAAAATGATCCATGGCAACCGCTTCAAAGGCACACGCCAGCGATGTAGTCCATGTGGGGCTTCAAGCGCTTTGCCTGTCGAGGCGGATGGGGTGGATGAAGTTTATGGATTCCTTCCCCCCCCCCGGCCCGTGTCTCTGAGGGCGCCCTCTTTTGAAAGAGCCCTAAGGCCCTACAAGGCCTTAAAGGCCTGACTGGCTGCTTAGTGCTTAGCAAGCACTTGGTTGCACGTTACATGTTTTGCCTTGCCTCCACACCAGTTGCCGCCAACTATGGCAAAACGATACTCAATTGATATAGCCACAATTTGTGCTTGAGGCAAAATGCGTGCCACGGCTATGAGGACCACCGCTAGAAAAGCAAACGGTGAAATTGCAAAGGGCGAAGGGAAAGAGCGACCCTAAATGGAATTCCAGCAGTCGTCCCTTCCAACATCTTGCAACAACAAAATTGTACAAAATTGAAACAATAGAAAGGCCAAAACAGTGCAAATAGGCGTGTGACTGTTGAGGCTGGAATTCCATTTTAGGCTTGTTTTCCAGGCAAGCTCGGCTCGCTGATTCCAGAAAATGGCCAACTTTGAGACCAACCCAAATACTCATACCTCCACATATGATTACCCCTAACAAAAATGCGAATATCTTCAGGTTCTAGCCCATTTCTGTGTTCCCAAGGGGCATCCCCCGTCCCAATCCCCCGGACGGAACCGAAGCGCCAAGCGCCCCCATGGCCGGGGCGCCACGTGGCGGAAGGTTCCCTCGGAGGTCTCCGTGAGCTGCAGGTCCACTCGCAGCTCCCGGGCTCCCACCTGAGTCGTGTGCTCGCGGGGATGAGGACTCAGGGGTCATTTTTGTTGACGGTTTCTTGGCTGGAATTCGGACTCCAGCAAAAAACAACCTAGTTATATTTGTTGCCTGGTTAGTAGAAAACAAAGGGGGGCCCAAAAAAGCAACAAACAATGAAAAGGGGAACTAGTTCTGGGGGGGTTATCAAAGTCCCACCACTTAGGGGATGACTTTGATCATGGTAACATAATGAGGCCGGTTGCTCCCCCGCTGGACGTCCGCACATCGAGTCGTGATCAAAACCCATTTGTATCAAAATGGCGCGCCAAGCTTCAGGAAGAAAGGCGGCTGCACCCGGATTCGGGCTTAAAATGGTTCCAACCATGCTTCAGGAATTAGAAAGGAGGCACACATCTATGGTTGGGATAGCATCCTTGGCTGAGCTTCAGCTACCGGGTGTTGTGAGTGTGGCACACGGCCCAGTTTCTCTCAAGGCCGTCAAGCACCGAGAGACTTGCTCTCCCTGCTAGTTTGGCATAAGAGGAAAGGGGTGCCATCCATTTCACCGTCCCCATAGTCCCAGGGTCTAGTACTAAATATAAACCAGCACAGGCCGGTTCGTTTTGAGCCAGTGGCACAACCTACTTGTCATTTGTCCATGTTTGTTTTTTGAATGGGGGGGGCAGCTGGCTTGCTTTCCGAGGGATGACAAGGTAGAAGCTCCACGCGCAACTTAAGAGTTTCGAAGTAGGTCACACCCCGTTACAGCCATGTGGCTACAGGTCTCCTGTTGGAGGCAATCTGAAACGGCATGACAACAGGGAAAGCGCCATTCTCCAACGGGTATGAAAGCATCCAAGGGGGTTCCCCCAGCGAGGGCCCTGAGTGTGGCACAAGCAGGGCCTGCTCAAGGCTTTCTACGCCTCAGCAAGCCTACTAAAGCTTGCCAAGGCTGAGGGGCTTGCAGGAGAGCCTGTATGAGCCTCATGAAGCTGAACAAGAGGTGAAAAGTGAAACCAACCAACACGTCAGCAAACACACAACACATGCAAGCCTCGCAAAGTGGCCTGAGTCGGCCAGCAATCTGGCGAGTGCAAAGCAGTAGGGGCTCACACGGCACTCAAACGGGCGCTGGAATCAAAGGCAGGCGCAAAAGGCGGGTTTGAACAAATCAACCACCAATGGCCCCTAGCAAGCACACACTGTGCCATGCTGAATTTCCGTCGCTCACGCGTGTCATCCAGTGTAACTGGGACGTCGGACGCCCCCCTTGCTTACCTAGGTTACCTAACCCCTCGGTTGCTCCATCCCGTGTTCCCCGAGATCTGATCTCGTTCCATGTTTGCTCCCAAAAAAAGATCGTGAACCTACGTCCATCTGCACGAAACTTCTCCTTTTGGATCTCCAGTTCATTGCTGACTCCGAGATCAACACAATTGGCTGGGGTTGCTTTTCAAGGGGCACACAAGATTTCGCCTTTCTTGAAGGGAACCCCCTTTCTAAGTACGAACAAAACAAAGCAACTGGCCTCATTATTTTACCATGATCACAGTCACCCCTAAATGATACGTAAATTAAAGGGAAACAACCCCATTGTCTGATTTTGATAACCTCCTGAAACCTTCAAAATAATAACCCCAGACCACTGGAGGTCTTTTTGATCAATTTGGAGGGCAGCCACGCCTGGCGCATCTCGCTGGGCCGGGGCATCGGCAGGGCCTGACATCACCGAAAACGGCGTTGGCATGGTTTGGAGTGGCTTGGAAACGGCTTGAGGCTTGGTTTGGAGCTGGTTTTTGAATTGGTTTGGAGGGTGGGTGTCCAAAATTGGGCATGCATCTTGCAATTCAGACGGTGTCCAGTATGGCCGGGCCACGACGCCTCCCGGCAACTCAAAAACCCTTCCAATGATGCACAAGTCAGATCTGAGCCTTCTTGGAACTACACCTCGAAGCCTCCAGCTGAAAACAAGGCAAAGGCCATACATCTGCGCTTCTTTGCCCGCGCAAAAATCAACGGCGAGGCACGGAGCAGGTGCACTTTAAACCTCAAGCGGTACACCACCAATATACGACAATGTGATATGTGCCCTTGTATGCTATTGAGAAGTGGCACACCTTCGTTCCTCCAGAATCCGAACCTGAAACTGCCCTTGAAAGCCCTCCGGCCTCCAGCATCTGCAGTGTCTCGGCGCTCCGTGATTTTGCGATGGTCACTGGGGAGCCTGGCCAAGGCAAGGCCTAGGAAATCATCCCCACCCCGTCGCAACTCGATTTTCCCTCGTGTCCACACAGGGGACACGTGACGTGTATGCAGTGGACCATTGGTTGATTTTCAACGCACACAGCCATCCTCTGCACACCTTCTGGGACGCGCGGAAGGTACCTTCAAAGCCAACCCGTCAGCCGTAGGGCAAGATGGACAAACACGGACGTCTCCAGGTTCCTTCCACGTGTTGCCTCTGCCCCTTGAAGTTGGTATCGAGCCAAAGTTCGATGCTTAGCCATGGATTCCTGATGGTTCAAGAAAATGTGGCTCTCGTTTTCTTTTGAAGGAGTAGCAAACTCCTTCATGGCGATAAGGTCCCGGGTGCTTTTTCACCTTGAGGCAGTTGCCGCAAGACATGGTTCAGATTCTGAAGTCGACGAGTAAGTTGATGAGACACGGGCTACCTTCCCGAGGCTGCTTTCTTTACAAGGCCGACAATTGAGATTGCTCTCACAATGCATGAGGCCCGCCCTCCAAACGTTCATTTTCACAAGCACCAGAAGCAACCTTTTGTCTATTGCTAAAGCGGCCGGCATGGTGCAGGAGGCTCCCCACGACAATATCGTTTTCAGACTTCCTTCTGAGGTGCCCAGGGTCACCGGGGCAACCTGGTTTGGAGTCGGTGATTTTGCGAGCCCTGAACCCACTACACAAAAAAGGAAACAGGGCGCTGAACAGCTGGGGTTGCTTCGCCCCCCCGCCCTGCCTTTGTCGCTGAGCTGCGGCAGGCTGAACTTAGGCAGCATGGGGTCCCCGTCTACCGTGGGCTGCACAGTGGCGCAGTTCTCCGCCAGGCTATGTCCCTGCGGCCGGTTTAAACACGTCCCAGCGCTGGGGGACTCCCTGCTGACTACGCCAAATGCGCGCACGGTCGACGCACGGGAGCCTAAGATTAACAACGCCTTGGTCGATTAAGAAAGTTGCAGGCCTGCTGAAAAAAAACAACTCAGGCACATGCGTTCTTCCCAGCCGTTAGGAAACCATGCGCGGAATAGCAAACAGCATGGCTCATACATACTTGAACACCAGCCACGCCATTCCCTCAAACACGCGGTCCTTTCCAACACGCCGAGAATACCCCGCCGAGAAAACATGCTCACACTGAGCTTTCTGGGCACGCAGCGGCTGCAGCGCCGCCGTCTTGCCATGCTTCCGAACTTCGCGTTTTACAACCAGCCGTCCATTCCGAAGCTTGAACCCCGCTTCCGCGCGTTCAAGTCGAACAAGCCAAACGCGAGCAATACGTTTGTCCACCTGTCCACCTTTGAGATTGCCTGTTGGACGCGGCGCACATATCGCTTCCTCACGCTGCTCCGAGCGCCCCTGCGCGTCTGCAATTGCAAGGGCGCAAAGGAAGCAAGCAACCCGAGCTGAAAAACCCCGAGCGTGCCCCTGCGCGCACCTGCGCAGCTTGCCCAGCCAAGCGAGCAGCCAGGATGCCAAGCCGAGCCGGCGCAGGCGCGGTGTGAGCATCCGTAAGCCTCAACGAGGGACCTTTCGCGAAGACTCCACGCGCCCATTCTTACATGGCTGGACTCCAGCGGGAACCAAAGCCACACCTACGAGACTGCAGGGACCAAACGCTTATCTTGTAAGCACAGAAACGGAGCACGGCGTTGCGTGGCCAAGGCACTGCCAAGAGGCATATCCTTTTTTGCGAATATGTTCTCCATTGAAATCCTGAAGCCCAACTACCAGCCTTGGCTCATGAAAGCCCACCTTGATATTTCTCGGGGAGCAGGGGGCGCGGGGGGCGGGGGGGGGGGGGCGGGGATTTGGACAATGCAACATTCACAAAACACATTTGGAGAGAACATCCTCAAAAAGAGTAGACTCACCGACAAGTTTTTCGGGCTTCGGACCTAGTAAATGAATGTTTGTGCGCAGGCAACAAAAGGCTTGGCCTTGAGCAAGCAGGATGTCAGCAGAGTCGGTCGCTCTGACTCCTCAGGATTTTGTTTTGTGCATCCATCGGCGCGCCCCTTGCACGCACCCCCTGCACTCACAACCGGAAGCGCACAGGGAAGGGATCCTTTCTTGGAGGGGGGAAGGGTTGTTGTTCCATACGTCACTTGGGGGTGGAGATCAAAAAGCCCTGGGGAACAACAGTAGCGGCAGCGAAGCTTCCAAGTTGCCTGTCCACCATAATGGACGAGCGCCAAAGGGAACATTGGCAGGGCAATGAATGGCTTGACGGGTGGTGGAACTCCCTCAGGTCTGACTGGAGCGTTCAACTATAGCCCGGTCAGTCTATGGGCGCTGGGGCTTGCTTGGTCGCACCAACCTTCCCAAACCGACAAGTTGCTCACTCACCGCCTTGGACTAAGAAACAAAAAAAACAGCCATTCAAGGGCAAAATAATTTACCGACCGCCTATTTGCCGAGTAAACACGATTGAAGATGCGCCAGCCGCAAAGCCCTAACTTCACTGGGTGTCAAATGGAGGCAATGAACAGGCATGCCAGTATTGGAGACGTTGCCAGGTCTCGGGTGGAGTCATGCACAGTGAGTTGGGCAGTTTCAGGCATAAGATTCACCAGCTTCCAGAGCCTGGCACACCGACCTGTACTGGCTCGTGTTACGGAGTATTGTGTGCCGCCAAGTGCTTGTTTTCATAGCAGGCTGGCCTTTTCTGGGATTCGACCAAAACCCAAAACACCAAAACCAAAACCACCTGCCATGAAGGGCCTACAAAAGAAACAACAAATTCTCAGCTCGGATTGAACAGCCGAACCTTCTTAAGCGCTTGCGCATACTAGAACTCCTGGACTGGAAATATGCAACTTGCACGCTAGGAAACCAGGCCATGGGCAAGCCCCAAAGCCCCCCTGCTGCCCGGACCTCCGCTCCGATCCTCGCCTCATGTTGAACTACCTCCACCTGCGATGATCCGAAAGGGTTTCTCACAAAAAACCCTAAAGGCTAAATGTTGATTTCAAAACCCGAAAAAGATCAACAAATGAATCTAGCGAGCCCCGCTCGCACCATTGCCCCTTGACAATTGTACAGTGAAGGCGTTCTACCTCCACACCCCAAGGCTCACTAGCCCCAAAAGCCTCACGACAGAGTGCCAATTGGGCAGGTTGTGCTAAGGCGCACACGTGTCACAGCAGCCAAAGCCGTGTCACAGCAGCCAAAGCCGTGTCAACATCTAGCAGTGGCTCGTTCTCCACTTTGCCAGCAGCTTGTGCATTGTCAGACCCCCACCTCAACCTTCAACATCTGCATGACTTGAGTTTGGGGTGGCCAGCGAGCATTGCTTGGTCTCGCGGCTCGGCTCCCTTTCGTTGGTTTGTTTTCCGGGTTCCTTTGGAAAACTGTAGGCCCTGCCCATGGATTCACCGTCGAGGTCCCTCCCATGGTCTCCCCTTTCTGCCTGCGGACCGCGCTTGACGTCTGTCTCCAGCGCTGCCTCCGCTGGCATCTGCTTTTCAGCCCACCCACCCACCCACCCACCCACCCACCCACCCACCCACCCACCCACCCACCCACCCACCCACCCACCCCGTTCTTGACCCGCTGGGTGCACTTCTGGCGTTGGCGGCGTCCACACCTGTTGCTGCTCAGTTAAAACACTTTTCAAAAGGTAGAATGTCCAGTAAGGGGAATCGAGTCTATTATTCTAGCTTGTGGTGCGTTTGTGTCCACAACGGACGGGCGCTTGTTTTGAGGATCCCACACGCACAATCCAGTTGCCATCCGCTTTCTACTGGGGGTCGAATGCTAAAGCCTATGGCCGGGCGGGCTGAACCTGCGGAAAACAAGACAAAACAAGGCACGGTTGGGTCCAAAAAGAAGCAGAAAGAGGGCTGCTGAGTCTTTTTCAGTCGCCGGGTCTTGCCACACCTGGAGACATTGACCAAAAGAAATACATACACACATGCGCGCGATAGAAACCAAAGGCAACACTGCTTTTGATCATGCCTGCATTGGAGCCAAAAAGGCAAAGCAATGAAGCAACAGTTCACCTGGACAGGAAAGCCCGCATCCAAGATATTTGCAATAGGGGAATGGTGGGTAGCCAAACTGGGTTTCCAAGAAAAGGGTAAGAACTGTCTGGTAGAAAGAGCTTGACCCTTTGAATCTCACATTCTCGATTGTGGCGAGTCTGATAGCTTCAACTGCCGATATCCCCTACAAGGATCATTTTTCGAGCCTGACGTTTGCGCTTGTCATCTACCTAAACTTGTGATAAGTGAGAACAAAACACACTAGCATTGCCGAGATTTGGCAAACGGTCCAATCAAACAGCCAACGTTGATTGTCTGAGAGCCGCTGGCCATGCCGCTGACCCTTCCAGTTCCAAAGTGATTCCACAAGTTCGAGGTCCGGAAACTGGCTGCGTCTCAGTTTTCGGTTCAAAGTCTTGGGCCTTCACCTCGATACTATCGACCGTTTATTGCGGGGCTCTCGGTAGGGGACTTTGTCAAAGAATTTTCAGCCCAGAAACAGCCAAAACTTAGCAACACATGCGTGGCGACTGACATCAAACCGCCCAAACAGCGCCAAAGCCATACTCGTCATAACCCCCCCCCCCCCCCCCAAAAAAAAAAAAAAAAAAAAACGCCGTCCCCCCCCCCCCCACTGAATCTGAGCCCCCCCCCCCGGCGGATTCGCGGACCGCCTTCCGCTCGCAGGCCTTCCGCCCGCTGCGGAGCCGGCTGAAGGCGCCAACGCAGGCCTGGCGAGTCGGGGACCCGAAATGGCGGAGGACGGGGATCGCTCACTGCTCTTAAGCTCTTGAGCTCTTGAGCTCTTGAGCTCTTATGCTTGTATTATTTGTTTTATTTATTCCTCTGCCCTTGTGCTTCTGTGTTTCTGTGGTGGTGCTCTTGTGGGCGTATGTGTGCTTTTCTTCTTTCGCGTGTGCGTGTGTGGTGTGTTTGTGTTTGCGTGTGTGCTTGTGTGTGTGTGTGTGAATGTGTGCTTGTGTTTGTGTGTTTGTTTGGGTGTTTTCAAAAAGCCAATGAGTTGGGCTGCCCATAGTGGAGAGTCTCAAGAGGGAAATCTGATAGGGGACCCTTGACAACTGGGCGCTTCCACAAATGGAAACTAGTCTTCCAAGACCCTCCTGTCAGCTTCCATAGTTGGAGGGAGTGTAGCTCCCAAACTGCACCAAGGTGAAAGTAGATGGCACAACTCCGAAAGGACCCAGGGTGAGCTCGTTTTGCCAGAGCTCGTTACTTTGTTTGTGCAGAAACTGGAACGTCTGATTCTCATCCAGTCCCAGCCCTAGTACGGGGCATGAACATCTTCGTCGGGGAGCCGCTAAACTGCAAGGAAACACAAATGGCAAAACCAAAGAACACGCCAGCAGTGACGCCCTTTTGGAAACTGCTGGACCCCTCCTTTCTTTGCCCTGCTGGGTCCAAAGGTGGCCGGTACCACACTGGTACCACTCTCTCTCTCCCTCTACCGTTGCATCCAGTCATGGTTCAGCAGTACCAATGGAGATGGACATGATACGGCTCAGGACCCCTGTGAATGTTCCATTAGCGCCTCGGGGAGGCTCTGAGATAGACATCTTCTTCGAAACATGTTCTAATGAGGTAGGATTATCATTAAGGAGCCCCCTGTTTGTTGACGGGAACCAGCAGGAAACCAGCTGTGTGGATGCTTCCACTAACTGAAAAAGCTTCGGGAGCACGCATGCGGGTGTCTCTGAATGAGGGAGCTCAAACTTAGGAATCACCCCTTGGTTATTCAAACCATCCCATGAGTATCCTTCAAAAAAGATAGACCCAACCGTGTAGTTTGGATTGGCGTTAGGAGCTTGGGCGGTTCTGAAGGTTAAACCTAAAAACACGATACGGCCTGGATTGATTGAATTGTTGAATGGGGACCCTTTCGTAAACCCATGGTTAGTTTGGACTGGTGGCTTGGCTTGGAGATGAAGGTCATCTGGAAGCGAACCTCATGCGAAAAACACACACACACAAACACAAACACAATTTATTATGGTGTCAAATGATAATCGCACAGACAACCACGCAAAAACAAAACACCAGACCCCAGCAAAACACAGGACTCAGCAAAACACCCACACACACGCACATATAGACACACCCACGCACGCGCGCACACAGACACACCCACGCGCGCACGCACACCCGTTCCAGGCCGTCTTTCCCGCGCCTGTCGCAGGGCCTCGTGTTGCTGCACGCTCAGCCGCAGGAGCTCCTTGCGCGATGCGCCGAACCTTCGACGAAACGAGTGCCGTCCCGTCCTTGGCAAACGGTTTGCAGACTTTTGCGGGGGGACAAGCTTGGATCAGGAATCCTACAGCACTTGGGCTGGGGGGGGGGGGGGGCATAGAGATTTCTTGGCGCCGGTTTACTTTGAGGCCTGACTGGTGGCTAGAAGGCCAGTTTCCTCGAGCCTTCCGGTGGGCTCCATGTTGGGGAGGGGCCCACGTCAAGCATCGACCCAAACGAAAGTCAACAAATTTGGTCTAGATGCCACACCGCCCAAACGGGGAACCGTGAGGTTCTGTTTGGAAGGGGGAGCCAAACAAAACACGGCGGGGTGGGGTGGGTGGGGGGAGCAAGGGAGCTTTGGGTCCGGGCCGGGTCTTCAAAGATGTGAAACAAATACATATAGCCGGCAAGATGGGAACATGTTTGGTTTTTCAAAGATGTATTGCCGGCATGTTCCCAAACATTGGAGGTCCAGCTAAGTTTGCATAACAAAATATATGCCGGCCACATGTCCGGTTCTGAAAAATATCGAAGGACCGTAGACGGCACGAAACATCGATTGCAAGGCGCATGCTTGGTGAAGAAGCAATGTCAACCCTGTTCAACCCCATTCGAGGCCAAATCAAGAACCTGAGAAGTCAACATGACAATTGCAACCCCCAAGGAACTCACAATATAAGACAAGCCCCAAACCAATCGTCGTGACCAACAAAGCATGAAACAGATATAACAACTGCCTTACTGTGCGCGAAAGCCGAAGATGCCCAGTCAGCACTGTCAGCCAGTTCGCACACTTCATGTCCTTTGCCCCTGAAGGTCGTGAGCGCAAGTGAGGTACAAGCCATGGGCAATGCATAAACAAACAAGAACACGAATAGCTTGAGGACAGCCAGCTCGATCCAAGGGGCAACTCTTGCTCTCTCGGTCCCTTGGCTCCTGCTGCTCCTGTGCTATGAGCTCTTCCCAGTCGCCCATGGCTCACGAGTGCTGCTGGTGGCCGAAAAGCGGAAGTTGCGTGCAAACAAGTCACTCATGGCACAGGCCTTCGGTTCTTGTCTCGGGGCTTTCGGATTCATTGCGGCGGATTTTTGTTTTGAAGGCCACGCAAAACAGGTCACAGGATTTGCCCTTCAAAGGTTGCAATTTACCAGTGGTTTCCATTGAAGCTGCCACTTAAAGACGAGTGCTCCCAAATTCTGCTTGTGGCAAGTGGGCTAGGAGGCCTTCCTTCCTCTTGAGCTAGGGGGCCGTTCTCTGAGGGACCACATAGTGCTGTTGCTTGCAAGTTGCCCGGTGGCACACACTCTCTGTTCTTGGGGTGGGCACTTCAAAGAACGGGGATTGTCCCTTGAAAAGTTGGAAATCCGAAGGTCAACCTGGCCCGAGCTGCGAGTGCACGTGGCTCGCAGTGCTGGCCCTCGGCAAATGAGCTGCGCATCACATCGGTGTGAATGTCAGCGAAGCCAAGGGGGCACCTGAGATAACCGGAGCCAAGAGCTCCCTGCAACTGGCGCCCTAAATGTGGCAAGTATAAAACAACGTTTCAATCACCCGGTTTCTATTCAAATTCGTGGGAAATGTCCACATCTGTGATACCATGCTGGTTGTTCAATGAAGGAGAAAAAAAAAACACCCTTCCCAGTTACAGGATTACAAGGGGGGGTGGTTCCTTCCTTCCTTCCTTCCTTCCTTCCTTCCTTCCTTCCTTCCTTCCTTCCTTCCTTCCTTCCTTCCTTCCTTCCTTCCTTCCTTCCTTCCTTCCTTCCTTCCTTCCTTCCTTCCTTTGTTCCTTCCTCATGGGATCCGTTGCCACCGCAAATCCTGAAAGGTCTTGCACGTCAACCCACAGAAGGAGAAACAAAACAACATGAATCTCTCCGGAAGCTTGCAGCAAGCCATAGGTCGATTGGACGAGAAAGGTGACCAAATTACTCGAAGATTGAAAGGTTAACCCCTTGGAGTGTTGACCTGAAATGGACGAAACCAAAAACCACACACACGCACCACAGAAACAAGAAATTATCAAAGAAGGTCGTCTTTGACCAAGTGAGCAACTGGATGTGGTCGGCTTGGATTGGGACTGGCAGGGTTGTTGGTCCGGGGCTTACATTAGGCAGAACCAATTGAAAGGAAAAGGACAAACACCGAACAACAACACCTCAGCAGGTTTGGCTGTCGTTGTGAAGCCCTGGAAAACGTCAGTTCCCAAGTTCTGTCTGGGTCGCTGGTCTGCCCAGCACCGCGGCTCCCTTGCGCTGGGCCGTTCAGCCTGAGCGAAAATCCGGACACCAACGAAACGAATATTGAACCTCCGCGTTTCGAATATGAATCCTCCATGGCTTTCCCCACCGGGATGTTGAGGTAACGAGTCTCCACTCACATTGGGACTTGTGCTGCCTCAATGTCAACAAACAGGAATATATAAGTGTATATATATATATGCATGTATGTGTATAACATCCAGAAGTCTATGAATGTGTACTTGACATCGGCGGAACTGAAGAGTATAGCCTATAGGCATTCTCTGGTGTGCCGTCTTGCTGGGGGGGGGAGTCCAGGAAACACACCCAAACAGAGGCCCAAGGACTTGCCAAAAACACGGCCTCTCGAGGCAACTGCAGATGCTCCTGTGCGTTGGAGTTGGAAAAAGTGACAGGCCGGTCACGAGAGCAAACCATTTTGCGTGTATTTGTGGCGCTTGGTTCTCCTTTGATCTGGGGGTGCCCCGGCCGCTGTAAACTAGCACATGCCAACAATGGACCACACGTAGTAAACTCAAACACCGAGGAGTGCCGAAAATTTTCCACTTCCCGCTCCTTGCTGGCAAGGTGCGCTTGTCCTTTCCCTTGCCCTTGCCCTTTCCCTTTCCTTTTCCCTTGGATTTTCCTTTTCCCTTGGGCTCCTCCATCGCCTGCACGAAAACCGCGGCATGCGACGAGGCATGATCGAGCCACCACCAAGCCGCCCGACTTCACGTGATGCTTGGTAAAACGCGGTGGAAAATACGGAAGCACCCCCGTTGCTTGTGACGAGAAGGGGGTTGTTTGGGTGTTGGCCAATTGTCTGAATCGTAAAATTCACAATTGTCTAGTGTGTCACTTTCAGTCACCAGTAAGACGCGGCATGTATCCAAACTTTGGCTAACCGTCCCTCACAGGCCCTAGTTCTGGCATGGAGCCATCTTTGCCTTCAGGGGAGAAGCCCACAAGGTCCCGAAAAGTCCATCCCCTTCGGCGCTTCGGAACGAACCAACTGCAGAGGGAAGCAAATGATACTGGCGGCATTTCGCGCCCCGCTGTGCAGCATTATGCTCCAGCTGGCAATAAACCATCTCCAACAGAAAGATGCTTTTGGCGTGACCCTCGATTGACCCTTGATGCTTTTTTCAGAATTGACACAGGGCGAGACTCCACACTCCTTGCACCGATTGTTGAGGGTCAACATTAGCCTCGCTCGGGCATGTTTCTTAGAAGTCAGGCCAGAAACAAGTTTGGATAGTGCACCAGGAATTTATGATGCGCAGTGTGAGTAGGTGGCCTGGCAAAGTTGACGGCTAGCCATCCCCTCGTGGTTCCCTCCAGGAATTGCCGCTCATGAGGGTTGCATAGCACCCTGACTCAGCACACTCAGTTGCAACCAAAGAACCAGACAGTGCTTGAAGGTGATCGCCGTTTGGGTTGCCATGACTTAGGCGCAACAGTAACTTTCAAAGAAAAATTAGCACTGCTCGTGAGTTACAAGATCCGCAGGAGCGCCACGCCTTTCCCTTCTTGCCCTTTCCTTTGGCATCTTTGCCCTTGCCCTTCTTTCCCTTGCCCTTCGGCGGCTCATCCTTGCTCGTTGGCTGGCAGAACCAATGAGGCAGCGTCTCTAGATATCTCCGGTCTGCAGCGTCTTCCAAAGCTTAGAAAACCTCTTTCCGACTCAAAGCCGTGTCCGTAAAACAATCCAGGCAACCTGGCTGAAGTGCCCGAGAGTTCTCCTTGCCGAGCGCAATGGCTGGCCCTAGATCTGAGTCTGACAAGACTTCAGAGCAAGCTGAATCGACAAACTCCTCACCAGGCCCCGCAGAAAAGAAAAAGAAACTGCCTCCGCAACGAGATTGAAATCGTCTAAATCTTGCCATATAGACTTGTGACATGTCTTGGAGGGTGATTAGTTTTGACCTGAGATTTGAGTTCCGCCTGGCTCCTTTGCTGGCTTTGCGCCCAAGCCTCGTAGCTGGGCTTGCCTTTGCCCTTGCCCTTTCCCTTTCCCTTGCCTCCGGTCGCAAAAGCGAGTGGCGAGTGCGATTGCCCCTATCTCTTGCGCCCATGACCTGGTTCTTGGGATGCCATGACTCCAGCCAAACCGGGGAACCAATCCATGCCCAATTGGTCGATCTGCTTTGGGCGGGAGGGCGGAAACCAACAACGAGCCGCTCCCGAGGGCAGGTTTCTGGTTGGTTTAGGTGGGTGTGGGGTGGGCAGTGGGCTTGCTTAGGGTTGGTGTAGGATTTGCTTCCGACCGGGCCAACTCTTGAAAACCAGCAGGCATTTGGCTGCAACTGAGAGGCAGCAGGTTGCCTTTTGACCCCCGCTTTTTGGGAACAAAGCGTGCCTCGCACCTTGGCTCCCTGTGTTCAAACAAATGGTCGAGAGGCCAACCTTGAAATCCCGGGCTGGGCGGCGGAGCAACCTCTCGACCCCTGCCACCCAGTCCGCCTTTTCCCTTCATGCCCTTTCCCGAGGGGAAGTAATCATCCTCATCGTCATACTTTCCTTAGCGAGTGTCACGACTGACATCGGATCCTCGTCCATGTGAGAAGGGGGGCAAACCAGATGCCAGGAAGCCAAGGACCAGCAACAGAATCATCCAAGCAATTCAGCATATATATATATATGTAACAGGGATTGCTTACTTGGAAGGGTTGCCTCCCCAGTTCCATAAGACACCACCCCATCCATAGCAATTTGATGGCCCGATCGGTGTTCTACGTCGATCCCGCTTGCTTGCAGGAGGGCCTTGAAAGTTGGATGGAACCTGGAAAACCAACAGGTCATGAAACCGGCTTCCTCCATGAAATCGGCTTCTTCAAAGGGCATGAGACGTCAACAAGGTGATTCGGCCGAAAAGAGCGAAAATCGTAAGCGCGGCTTAACCACGAGGTGGAAAGATTTGGGCGACATGCGCACTACAACCACTGGAGTTCACCAACTGCCCTGGGCGATCGCCAGAATCGCGGTGCTCAGCAAACCTCCGCTGGGAACCAGTGAACAAGACACGTACCTCTACTTATCCGCCCATCCCAGGGTCCAGTAGACAAATCGGCAGGATATCAAGCAATCTCGAGAACGCTTTCAAATAAAGACTTGGACTTAATGCGGGCAGGCCTTACTTGTTGAAGTAGCCACATACTTTGAATGCCAAATGAAACGAATCACCCAACCACACCCAGTCACCTAGACACCCACACACCTTCAATTCCCACCCCCTCCCACTCCGTCCCTTGAGGGCCGGGCCCTTACCCTTTCCTTTGCCCTTTCCCTTGCCCTTTCCCTTTCCCTTCATCTCCATGACCTTCCCCTTCAGAGCCATGGCCTGCCGTCCGTTCTGAAGCCTTTTTCGCACGCAGGGCCTGTCTGCAACTGGCGTGAGAATCCCAGGTGCCGACCAAAATCCGAATCGCAGAATGACAAAAACATGTCAACTGCTCGCCCTGTTCAGACCACTACGGGAGGGCCTGAAGAGTTGAAACCTAAGCCGCTATCAAACGCCACACACAAAAACCAGGGTGTATGGATCCACTCGAGTCTTGCACACTTGGATGCTTTGCGAGGCTGACGCGGATTGGTAGTCCTTTTGTTGAGAGAAGGCGGTTGTTTGGCTTGCTTGAGTTTGGGCTGTTAATGTCAGCAAGGTCGATTTGCTGTTGGTCCTGTTTTGTTTGTTTCGCAGCATTCCCTCGCGCTCAGCGCTGACATTCGCCCTTAGCTTTGTCCACCTGCCGGGCCGATTTGCGCCGGGCCGATTCGGGCCTGTCCGTTTCTTCAAACGCAAAAGCAGCAGGCACATATTGTCAGAACCTGCTACCTGCCGATGTAAATGCACAGGAGCCATCATGTGTTTGCGAATTTGCAAAAGTGAGCCTAATTCTAAATCTAAGTGTGAGCTGGAGGAGCCGTGTGTTCAGAAAATGAAAGCAACACTTGGGATTTGGTTTTGGAATTTACGGATGGGCCAGGACGAAGATGGAGAATCGATCTGTTCTCTGAGTTTGGAAAACACCCACTTAACAGCACAATCATTGTCCAACGTTCACAGGTCAGGCATCTTGACACATGTCTCGGAATCGGCGCGCCTTTCCCTTGCCCTTTCCTTTGCCTTTTCCCTTGGGCTCGTAATCGTACTCATCCCACTTCCCCTTCCCCTTGCCCTTCTCGGCGTACATGTCCCAGCTGGACTTGCCCTTGCCCTTCCCCTTCCCCTGGCCGGATGGCAGGCGCGAGGCTCGGGAGGAACCGGAGGGCCCACTGCTTTGCATTTCGGGTGGTCTTTTTGCTACCTTTTGTGAGCAAATGGCCTACTCACCACGAGAAATTCGATCAATTGTCCACAAAAGGTGGCAAACAGACCCCCCCCCCGGGCCCCCCCCTGGCTGTGCACTTGGTGGGCCTTTGGAACACCCACGGCAAATCGATCCGCTCCTTCGGCTCGTACGAGTCGTAGGAATCGTAGGAGTCGTAGGAGTCCCAGCTGGGCTTGCCCTTGCCTTTCCCCTGACGGCGAGCGTCTACGGTTTGAGGCCTGCAGACCCGAAGGCCCGACAGACCATTGTGGCAAAATGGGACTTTGTTGTTTTGCGCGGATCTTTGTAGGAACCCTGTGACTAAAAATGAGACCAGGAAACCGCGGAACACCTAGGCTGAGAACGCCTGGGGTGAAGTCAATAGTCGATGTTGGGTTCTCCTGCATGCCCACTTGCAAACACGAGCACAACAAATGCTAGACTCTAAGATTCCAATGGGGCAACAATAGCATGCCAAACTGTTGCCTTACCATGAACGACAACGTTAGACATTCACTTTGACAATCCTGCAGTATCCATCCTTCAGGTCTTCCGCTCTCACCCCTCCCCCGCCATTTCTGACCATGCTCTTTGCGATGCGCGCCTTCATCGGCGGAGGGCCATACGGGCCACTGGCAAAGGAGCTCTTCCCCTTGCCCTTGCCCTTCGACTTCGACATCATTGGAGGCTCCTGGACAGCCATTCCATGACGAATCGGATTCGCCGAGCCCGACTGCCTGGTATAAGAGCAACCCCTCTGAGCCTCTTCCATGGAAGGGAGCATTCCAAAACCATGGAACGAACTGAATCTCACAGCTGCTCGGACTAGAATGCATGTGCAAACTTTGGACCTCGCAAACCAACACCAGCAATTGGCTCTATTCGGCCAAGGCGCGTAGTCCGCCCAGGACTTGCCTCAAGCCAATGCTCAATGCCCCACAAGCCCAGCCACCAGAAACACCATGCGGTGCAATCTGGGCAACTCAGATCTGCCGACTGGCTGAACGGCTTGGACATGCGACTAGGCTTGTGATCGCCATACGGGCAACTGGAATCGGGCCTCGCGCAAACTATGCCATACTGGGCGGCACAAACTGCTCAGGTTCTAAGGGTTTGGTGTGCTCGCCAAAAGCAACTTGGAGACCCAGCGTAACCAACCCGCCAAAAAACATCAACACACATGCCAAGGGCGCTGCATTCATGCGTGCGAAGCAGGTGCTTCCTCAATCTGGACACGTCCAGCCTCACAATGCCTTCCCCCGAGAGGAAACGCGACCCAACCGCCTCACGTTGGCCTTATCTTAACCTGACGTCGGATGCTGAGGACGCCGCCCTTTCCTTTGCCCTTTCCCTTGGGCTCACCCTTTCCTTTGCCTCAGCGCCAGCAGTTGCATGTCGATCGAGTGTGTCTGGTCTGACTGCGCGTGTGTGAATAGGATACAGGAACCCGCTAATGTGTATATCAGTTTCGGATTTCAGAATCAAATGCTTGCCGTGGACAGTTAAACAGTTATTTGCTTGGCAGCTTGAACACTTGCGCTTGCACCTGTGGGGGAGTGGGGAGGAGGGGTAAGAGAAGGCATCTCTGAGAACAGTCCACACAAGGGGTTCCAGCTTGTTCAGTTGTTCAGCCCACCGGCTCCATGCTCCGCCCGATTTCTGCAACACGCAGGCTGCAAGCCAAGGGGCCTTTTCCCTTCATGGGAACTGGGAACTCTTCCCACTCATCGACTTTGCCCTGCAGGAACAGGGCCATTGGGGAGGGGCCGGGTTCACCCCGATTCAAGAAGCCGGCAGATTTGCTCCCGACCGACTAGATAGGATTGATGAGGGGTCAATATATGTCAACACACCTCCTTTGTAAACCTTCCACTCGGTGAAAGGTCCTTTCCTGCCCTCCTGGGCCTTCTGGGTGATAAACCACCACCCCCAACCCGCTGGTTTTGGCGGAAAGCGCGATCCGCTTTGGGCACATTGAGATGGGAGCAAGGCTAGCACCATATGGGCCAAGGATTCGGGGAGATCTTTCTGCTTTGGGAGCATGAAATAAGCTCCCTGTGGCCACCATAGCAAAAATGCCCGGCTGCCCACCTCTGAAAATCATAATGACCTCGATGAATGTACACACCCAATCTTTACATCCATCAGAAACTGGCAATAAAACATCACGCCTTCATGTCAGGGGCAGGTGACTCCAACGGCTGATTGCAAAACCCTTCCCCTCAGCTTGCTTCTAAACGCTTAGGGACCCGTCCACTCCAACCTGATTGCCAGTTGCTTGAGAAAAAAGTCCAACCCGAAGGGTGGACTGTTCAAATGCCAGTCTCTTGCAGCATGACCAGGGTCCAAAGATAGGCAAGACCAGGAACAGAAAGTGAGCGCAACCTTTCATTTTCAGGTGAGAAGTCGCATAGGATCCAACATGTTCAGAAAGTCAGGGCAAGTCGAAGCACAACACGCAACCAATCCATGGGTAGCAAGATGTGAAAATGACCTGTACCCGCACACACGGTGAGCCAAGGACCTTTTCCGGCAAGCATCGCAACCAGACATTTCTTGGCATCGAATTCTCCCTCTCCACGACTCAAACCCCTGCGAGGGAGGCAACCGCTTTGCCCAGCCTTTCCTTTTCCCTTGCCACCCTTCGGTCCCTTTGCACCCTTTCCGCTTGCTTTGCTGTAGCCACCCATGGCGCGATTGGAGTGACAACACCTGGCTGTGGCGGTGCGATCGGTCGGCCCAAAAGAGGAAGAGGTTGCAACAGGAAGGGAAAATGACCTGTCTCCAACCTCATCCTCAGAGCTGTTTAAGGTTCAACCTCCAACTGGTACATGGGTGTGCTGTAAGCGTGCGGCCAGGACAGCCAAGGAAAACCCACCCATAGCAATGAATTCGGTAGTTGCTTCGGAAACTGTTTGGCTGCTTGGCAATCTCCAACTTGCTTGCTTGTTTGTAAACTCGCCCCAGCCCTCCCATAGAAAGAAGTAATTCACCACACCCAATGGGCTCCCTGGTTGCTTGAAATCTGCTTGGGAGTGAGCGTAAGCAGAATGTAATACTTTGTGGCCAGTGTATAAGTTGAAGAGTGTACTCCCGTCCCTCCCCCCCAATAGCACAAACCTGACCTGAAGGAATAGGGCGTTGGTAAAGGGGCCTTCTGTCAGTCAGGCGTCGCCAGGTCAACTCGACAGTCGCGTGCCTGGCCTGTGAGCAGGAGCGGGCTGTTGGGACTGTTCTGTGGCAGGCGGAGACCGTCTGAGCCAGGCTGCTGCACGCGCAAGAAGCGGTGTCTGAAGCTGGCGAAGGCAGAAAAGCAGACTGGCGGAAATCTATACCCCGCTGTGGACCTATGTGATTGCCCGCGTGCTAACAGGGGACAATGTCTAAAGATTTGGCCTTAAGCTGCGCAATTCCGCAGCCCTCCCCATACAAGAGTTTGGGATGGAGTTGGAACCAACCTAGAAATATAACACCGAGGCAGGCGCACCCACAAAAATGAGGGAAAGTCCTTCAAGCCAGCACGCGAAGGCCGGCCCTGAACCTGAATGTGTTTCAGTTCCACAGCTAGACGTTAGGTCCAGCAAGGAGCCATATCTGCCTGGGATAGGTACTGCCCCTGGTATAATCTTTATGTAACTAAGGCCTTTCCCTTTTCCAGAGGTGGGGAAACTGCAATGTCGGGATGAACTTAATTCAGGCTATCTAGAATCTAGGAGCTGAACAGCCGTCGAGCTTTCCAAGAACAGGGATCCTTCACGCATACATCCCAAAAATAGTAGTTGCAGGCTCTGTCTGTTGCGCCTGCTTTGGCCAACTCAAAGGGCTCCGGGTCCTTCAAAACAAGTCGTAGTTTCCGTGATCATTGAAATTGTCAAGCGAGCTACCTGAAGAAATCTGAAGAAAACACATCAACAAGGAAGCACGAAAGCACAAGCAACACACACATGCAAAGGCAAGCATCTGCATTGTTGCAGCCACGGCCACACACCATATCAAACCCTGCTCCTGCCTGGCAATGCAAACTCCGGCAAGGTGGGTGGGCGGGCTGTCTCCCAAGGCAACTCAAACGAACCACCACCAAAACAGTCGAAATTGGCAAGTGCGCTGCCAGGTTTTGCATGGGGCATGGCGGGTTGCAAAGCTGATCTTGTCCTTGTTCTGATCTTACACCTCGACTCAGGCAACATTCCCAGCTGCACTGCAGCAGGAAGTTTGTTCTAGACCACCGCTTCCAACATGGACCCCACCCAGAAATGAAAAAGGGCAAGCGCCTTGGCGCATTGAATCTGCGAGCCCGGGCTACGGGGAAGGCATCAGGCAACCCCCTAGGCAAGCGGCGCATACTCTCCATACCTCCAGAGCCCATGGCAAGTGGCTTAGATCAGTTCGAGGTCATCTCAGAAGAGCTGACAAGGTAGCAACTAGCATCTTGCTCCCTGGCGAACCGCCTTAAACCTCCTGCGCGCTGCAATCATGAGGAAGCGTTGTAGTTCCCACAAAGCTTCAAGCACAAACTAGGCACAGTTCAGCAGACATTTTCCCGGGAAACATCTTGGCTTGTCTCGAATATGTGCATTGGGCACTAAGCTTGCCCCTGCGGTCTATAACGAAACGTGGGCCTTGAAAAAGCCGCCCTCATCTTCACCAACCACCCGTCATAGCATTCTGTCATGTCTCTGTGAGGAAGAATTTCCTCTGCAAAGGCCTGGAGGCCCATGGCAAAGCGATATGATTCTCACCCAGGATCAAAGCAGGCAGAGTAACTAGGGGAGCATTTCCTTCAGAAGTCCCTTTCAAATGGGAGGCCCTCCCCCTTCCACAATCCCGCCCATGCCAATGACCAAACCGCCCCAAGCAGTTCCAAGCATTCCACGTCCTAACCGTCCTAGCCCTCTGCCCTCCTCCTGGACCTTGCTGCTGGCAGTCTTCGACCTTGGGGCACTGGACGTCCAAGGTTCAGATATCTCAGCATCCCTCTAAATGGTGGCTTGGATTGGTGGTTTGGAGGTTGGGGAGCAGCTTCGCATTTACCCTCTGCAAGAACCAGTGCTTTAAATGCCGACCTCACCAATCCAAACCACATTTTTTGGCGTTGGGTTTTACTATCTTGATTGGACCTTATTCAAGCTTCCGCGGACTCTTCCGCATCCTTTCAGAGGGTTCGAAGGCTCTTTCTGTGGACTTCCGCGGTACTTCTGCGGCGTATGGGGTTCGCAAGCTTTGGCTCCGCGCAATTGGCGAGCAAAGGAATACCAAAGTAGAGCCGCAACAGCCAAACACTTCCCAACCTGCGTCTGCTTCACTTCATGCTCCGCCTGTGCTGCTGTGGGTGTAGACTTGGGCTTCATTGGGCTACCGGTGCTACCCTGCGGAGCTTCCGCGAACCTTCAGGCAACAGCCATCCTAGCAAGCGCGCTTGCTGTATGCAGCAAAACAGCTTTCTGCTTCTCATCGCTTCTCCGTGCTTTTCCATGCATACAAACTGAAGCAGCCCATGTCAAGCCACATAGCATCTGCAATCACTTCGCGAAGGGATCTGCTTCCGGCGCACATGTTCAAGAGATAGGTCCCTCTCCTTCCGACTGTCAAGCGGGCAACAAGAACCGACACTTGATTGGGGGGCAACCTGTCCATGGGTTTCTCCGACTGTAGTCAAGAAAGGCGCAGCAAGCAGTGTTTACCAAGCTGGAGATGACACCACCCTACCATCCAGTCTCAGCTACACATTGGCATCAAGAACAAACAACGCAACATCAACATCACGAACGGCAAGCAAACGAGCAGGCGCGCAGACATCTCCTGAACATGAGCAAAAACCCAACAATGTGATTTTGATCGGTTGAAACGGCAATGCAGCAGGATATATCCCTATTATCCCTCTTGCCACTTTCTGGAAGCGACCTCTTGATCATGAAGAGCACATCAAAGTCATACACATCCGAGCGCAATACCGTATCAACATGCTGCCCTCTGTGTTACGCGACCGCCTCTGCAATAACCAAACGAAACCAACCAGCTGTGGGGTCCTAACTATTGCGCAACATGACTACGCAACCCGAACCGCCAAGTAAATAATAACTCACACACAGAATCTTCCTTGACGTCTGGCCTGATCCCCCCCCAACAAGCAAAAATAGCAGCAGTTTGGAAGAATGGGCGGGAAATGCCCCCACTTAACTACCACAATTCCAAACCATCCCCACCCCGCCCCACCAAGCAAACAATCTGGCCGGCTCGGAGCTCGGGATCCCCGCTCTCTCTCGAGCGCTTCGGCCTGCGACATGGTGAAGCCATGGCTTCGCCAATCAGAAGCAACCCGATCTCTTGGTCAACTCGTTCGATTTTCTGTGGGGCGAAGATGTATGTTGCGAAAGGTTTACCCAGGTCTAAGGCCTCACAAGAAAAAAAGAGACTGAAGGCAAGTGCATTGGGCAGCTCCTGCTCAACGTGCAAGCAAAACCTTTTCCAGCAACAATAGAACCGATGCCAGCATGGGGCCCAACACAAGAGAACCCGCACTTAGAGACATCGTAGAACAAAACATGCAGACTTTCACCATGCCGCGCCTTTGCCGCCGCCTTCGAAGGTTCCGCCCTCAAGCGGCCGCGGATTGCAAAAAAGATGGCCCATCCGAACACTTGGAACAAAAGCACGCACGGGCTTGGTTTTTGTTGAGGGACCCCGAAAGGGTCTTACCCTCAAAAACGACAGCCCCATATCGCCCTCCTGAGATGTACGTTTGACAAACTCCTGAGTAGAGAAAACACACACCCCAGCTAGGCTCCAGGCATGGTCTGGAAGGTTGAAGGTGCAGTTGCTAGGTTTCAGGGTTCCATAATTAAGATTTGCTCCAGGGCTTCTTTGGTTTCCGGAGCAGTTGGGCCCACAGTGGACACCGGCCCTGAGAACCTGACGGCAACTCCAGATTAGTGAAGAACTCAAGCGAGGAATTCCCCGACTGACTGGCCGAAAAAGCATGTAAATAAATTTTAAGTAAACCAATACTTCAATCAAGAGGTGATCAACCTTTGGCACGTGAAATTTGAGATTTCAATCAATCAGATGTCGGTTTGCTCTGGAGTGAGAATAGTGAGCCAATGCAGAGCCCTGAAAGCAGCCGTTTAAACACAATGCGCCTTCGCCCGTGTTGAGCCCTGCCAACTTCCCGGCCCAAACGCGCCCTTGCGCACACACGGTGCTTGAAGGTCTAGGGCTGGCACGACGCTTCGCCTGCCGAGCGAAGAAAGCAAGCAGCGAGTCACAAGAGCCAAGAGCTGCTGAACCTTCAATTGTGGAATGCGTCCTGGCACGACCAATCCGGCTCCGAAGCCCTTTCCATCCCATTGTCAGTGCACCTCCCATGGTGTGAAGGGCCTGCAATTTCAGCAGGAAAAAAGCAATCCATGCCCGCTGACATGGCGGGCCTTTTGTGAGACTTCGGCATGCCCAGTTCACGGGGCCGAGTTCTGGGCGCCTTGTCCCGCCGGGGCTGCCGGGGCCGGGGCCGGGGCGGCTGGCGCCGCTGCCGTTGGAGCCGGAGCCTTGGCCCAGAGAAGAAGAACAAGCCGAAATGGGGGCAATCGCTAGAACTCACGCCCCAAATAGGAGCCCACATAGTTGAAGGCCCTGCTAGAGCTTGACATTCTGAAGGGAATTTTTCTTTCGGGTGTGTGCACATACCTGTTCACATACCATTTTCCTGTAAAGCCTACTTAAGGGAGCCCAGCCAAAGGGGCTACCCAGTTTCGGGAGTTCTCCTAGTCGCGAAGCAACTTTAGATGCTCAAAGGGATATGCTTGCTTGACTGCCGCTGGCAGAATTGACAGCAAAAAAAGGTTCTATCACGGGTCTGTCTTTGGGATCTCTTCAAGCATATCCTCTACATATGTACTGTACACATGCTGCTCCTCGGGACGTTCAGTTTGCTCAGAAAGAGCCGTACCAAACTTCCACTTCAGGGAACCAACTGCCTGAATATCCAAATGGAAGCCAAAAGCGAATCAACAATTTTTCGGGGTTGGTCCTCAACCCCCTGCAAAGGTCAAACTTTCTGTCGTTTCATGGGGACTTAGTCATTTCCCACAGGGGCCAAGAGTAAAGGCCGAACCAAGGAGCAACTGAGTGTTTAGGAACATCGTCGATGCCAGCCAGGTCGGCCTGTCAAAGGGGTGCCCTTAAGACACGTTCCTTTGCGGGCTGCGTCCCATGATCTTTGCCGCACCACTCCTGAAGTGACAGGGTAAAGGGAACAAAGAGCAATCTTGGGAGAAACACACCCAGCGACGACGCGGCCGCAGCGGTCGGTTCAAAACGCTACTTTTCCGCTCGCAGCTGCGGCCGCGGCCTCCAGTGTCTGCCTGCAAGCAAACCACAACCCAAACCCCCAAAACTTGGGCCAAGCCCTGGTGCAAACATCCAAGCCGCAATGGACCACACCGTAGTCAAGCAAAAAGACTGAGGTCCGTTGAGGGCCCAGGATGTGTTCAAACAACCTGCTTTGGGTTTGCCTCTGAAAGGCGGCCAGGAGTGAATGTTTAAAGGGACGACAACAAAGTGTTGGGCCCCATTTCAAAATTCAAGAGGATGGGCCCAAGGGCAGAAACAATTAGCCAAGCGGCCAAGTCCAAACTCAGAACGCTACAAACATGCAAGCTCCATTTCTGCTGAGACCTGCCGGTCTGCTGCAACATCTGTAGGAAATCCGCCAGAGTCGGCTCCGGATCCAGCGGGGCGCTGTAATCCTAGGGCTGCGAGAAGGCTGAGAACATTTGGGCATGGGTCAAAATTAAACCGCCATGTTTCCATTTACCAGGGTCAAAAATTTTGGGTACCTATTTTTGACCCACAGCCATTTCTCCTCCGTTGCAACCCCATGAGCCTTCCGTGCTGGATCTCAAAATCTTGGTGGACTGTGTGGCATGCGGCGAGGTGGGATTGCAAATTATAGCCTCCCAACCTCCCAACCTCACATTTACGGGGCCGAGAGCAAGGTCACCCACCCCAGTTATACCTAAACAAAATGGAACCGCACATGAGCTTCATGTGGGTTGCAAGGGGTCAGAAGACCTCCTGCCTTGATTCGATCTCTGCACTCCGCATGTACCCAATCCCACTTTTTGGCGGAAACCGCAAAAAGCCAAGGGTCTTGCTGATTGCCGCAGCATCCACTTCAACTTGGTCGATGCTAAAAACTAAGCCTAGGATTCACATCTACCATCGCTTCGGGCAAAGACATCAACCCGCCTGAAATTTGGGAAGCGGCAAAGCCCGTCCTGCTGCTTGCTGCCCTTGCGGAAGTGCGCTAAGATCAGCTCCCCGGCCTGTCCTCGCGGCCAGGTACTTCGGCGATTCGCTCGATCGCTGGCGCAGGGTTCAAGGAGCCTGGAGTGAGCCTGGTGGATTGTGAGGGTTCCCCGGTTCCCCCCAACACACTCACGCTTCCGAGTCGTGCGCACGGCAGAGCAGTGCGGCACGTCCTGATCCGGGCGCGGCCTTGTGCCGCAATCGAAGTGTGACCTACTTAAACGGTCTGGCAAGGTCGTTGGCCGTTCGGATTGGCCTGCCAGCGCAAAAAGTGCGTAGAGCACGGTCCACGTTGTGCAAGGTACAACGTGGCAGCTCGAGCGTGAGGCCACTCTGTGGTGGTCCAACTCCCAGGGATGAGAGATTGAGGCTACGAACCTCTCCAATGCTCGAATTGAAAAAGGAAGCACAAGCCCGAAAAAGCAGACGAACCACATGGATGTCCGCACCAAGATTGCACTGAGCATGGGAAAGGCTAGGCTGGTCTCGCCAGATCGCACCGTCTTTGTGAGGTGCCGGGCTAGGAAAAGTATCGCATGCAAGCCTGAGCGCAATTGCGCATTCAAGCCAGGAAACGAATACCGGTCCTTCGGAGGTCTGGGCTTGCTGATGCAGCCATTGGACGACCTGAAGGGGAAATCTGGTGCCGAATTTGAATTCGACTGCAGATCCTGCAAGGTCCGTCGCCCATTCTGGGCTAAGCGAAGCAAGCCATCTAATCTGCCCTTCACTATGTGCATAGGGCAGCGGCCCTTCGTCGTCGGGGAGGTCGGCTGGGGCTCGTTGGTGCTGCTTGGCTTTTTCCCTCCCATCGTCGGATTCGGCAATGGCAAGATGAAGGCCCTGTAGAAGGCGAAGTCGGTGTAGCTGATCACGTTCAGCCTGCGCGTAGTCCCGCCAAAGCGTTGCAAAGTCAGGGTTGCGCCTTTGATTTGCATGCTTAGCGGCTGCATCTGCGGAGTTGTTCCATCGAGCTGCCCATTCATCGGCTGGGTTTTCACACTCCTCCGGATGACCATGACCTGGTAGATGCAGTACTCGAAATTGACCAGGTGCAAGTCCAGAAAGGTGCTGATGAAGTTCCTGCCATAGGTCACCGTTGCTGCGATCCGGAATGTCGGAGTCGTCGCCTTGGATACGCCATGTACCTGTCGCAGCGTACGCCGAGTCGGTCCACAGGGTGGTGTTGCACGCGCTGAGGGTGGTCCATTTAGCAGCGCAGATAATAGCGGTGAGCTCTGCCCGGTTGATGCACTGAACTGGGCCTGCGAGCTCGCCTGATGAGATGTGGGTGACGTACATGAACCGTCCGAGAAGAGGTGGACATCTTCATCGGCTTGGGCAATCAGTTGAAAGTGGAATTGTTCATTCTTGAGGTTGTAGAAATTCTCCCGAACTTGTCCAAGAAGGGGATTTCGAGGGAGTAGCAGCCGTTCTCGTACACATACAGGAGAATCGTGCCATAGACGTCGAGCCTGTTCATGTTGGGCATGACACTCAGCAAAGGCTGGGCATTCGAGGCATCGTGGGCAATGGTTGCATTGGCTGGTTGACAGGTTGTCAAACTTGGCCTTCTGGGTGTTAAGGTAGAAGGCTTCTTCCCGAAGTGTGCTGACTCTTGCGTTTTCAAGTGCGGTGAGGTGCGAGCTGCAGTGCTTGACAGCAGCCCAATTGATGCCTTCAAGGCCTTGAAAGTCTGCTCGAGTTGAAACCTCGCGCGCGGTCTTCTGGAGCCAGGCATCTTCGAGCAGATCATGGAGCATGCCGTTGTCAATGATCAGCAGGTTGTGAAGGTGCCCTTCATGATCCACCAGAAAGGGAGGTGCCTCAATAGTCCACAAAACAAGGTTGAGCTGGCGCATCAGGACAGAAAAGGGCCCGGCAAATGTGCGGCCGTCGTAGGAAGCAATGAATTGTGTCCACAGATCAATGAGAGAGGTCTGCTTGACAAGAACCCGCTTGAATGTGCGTACCACATGCCAGAGCTGAAAGAAGCCTGGGTCGCTAAGGGCATTCCCGGTCAGGAGGCTGAGTCGGATTGTCGGGTTGGCGCCAGCTCTTCCGCAACCAACTGCCCTGACTGCGGCTGTTCTGAGCTGCTTGATGGAGGCCGTGCTGAGGTCCTCGATGGGAGCACTGTGGAAGATCTTCGGCCCAATTGCCTGGAAGAGGATGAAGTACTTGTTGAAGGAAGCAAGATTGATCTTCTTGAGCAGGACCCAGGTGGGATGTAGCCCTGCTAGTAAATCAGGGTGATGTGCCGTCTTCCGGCGGGCTCCATAGGTCATTTGGCCACCGAGGTCCTTGTCCTTCTGACTGATGCGACGACCCAGAAGTGCAAGTTGCTTGCGGTGGTGTGGCTGAACTGCCCAGAGGTAGGTCTTGTCAGCGTCGATGCTAAGCTGAAACATTTCCAAGAAGGTGTCCTGGGAAACCACTGCCTGAAGGAGAGCACCGGGCTGATTGGAGACAATTTCCAGGTTGTCGACAAAGGAGATCGAAGTTGCCCTCGGGGAGAAGTGTGATTGGTACAGGTGATAGCACCAGTCGACAAGCACCATCGCCAGGCAGCTTAAGGGGCATCTCTCTGGGTAACCGCAGTTTGAGAAGAGCGGTGTGCCGATGGTGTCGTGGACGCAGAACCTTCGGGAGAAGCCTGTCAGGAAACGGTGCCATGCCTCGACGAAGTCGGACGGGAAGCCAACGTGTTTGGCGACCTGCTTGATTGGCAGCCGTGGCAAATGATTGAAAGCCTTCTCGACATCCGCGACGCAACCAACCAGAGGCTGGTCCTGTTGGGCTCGCAGCTCAATGAGAGCCTGATGAGGCAACCAAATTTCCTGAGCTTCACGTGATGGCAGAAAGCCAAAAGCCGGACAGTCCATGAGTTGGGACAGCTTGGAGAGTCCTTGCCGTGCCCGGAGCGAGGCCCAATTCCTGTAGATCATGCTCAGGACGATGATTGGGCGAAACTGTGAGACTTCTTCGGCCTCCGGACACTTGGCGATGCCGTGGGCGAAGCCGGTGAGCAGTTGCTGCGGCCATTGTGCCCCATGTTCGATGTGAGTGAGCAAATTGACGTGGGCCTGTCGTAGGGGTGCTGGCATGTTGGTGAGGTCGGTGAGCCCGTAGCCATCGGATCCGCGTGCGGAAGCGTTGCAGAGATTGGTCCCATTGTTGTAGTTGTAGTGGAGGTAGTGCAATGGCTCCTCGTGGAACAAACGCCTTGATGAAGCCGTAGATGCGATCCCAGGCTTCAGGCGGTAGGTTCTTGTGTTTGCTCCAGCGTTCTGGCCAGTAGTGACCAAGAGCTTCTTGAATCTTGGCGTCCTCAGTGATGTGGATGTGTTGATGGAGTTGTTGACCAACTACAAGGAGGAGGTCAGTATCGATCTGGTAGGTGTCCAGAGTAAGCTGGGTGACATTGGCCGGTGTGTTGTCAACTCACCAGGAGGTGTGGTCTGCTTTCTTGAATGGCTGGTCGGTAAGAATCTGGGTTCCATCAGAGGAGACCGCGATGATGGTAGCTGTTGTTTTTTGGACCAGGCGGTCGATGGGGTCTCGCCTAGCAGGTTTGATGGCCTTGAAGATGCGGGCGTGGTGCTCCTGCATGCGGGTCTTGTTGCACTTGATTCGCTGGCGAAGGTTCCAGCTTTCAAAGCTTCGGAAGTTGTACTGGTAGTCGTGGAAGATGCGTTCGAGGGTGTCCAGGTCAGGCGTGGTGTCCGGGATGAGCCCTGCATCTGGTGTTTGCGAGAGTGCCACCATCCAGGGAACGTGGGTTAGAATCCCCGTGCGTGTAGAATTGCACGCCAGGCTCTGTAGAGCTGATGCGTAGCTTCTTGGCCGCCGGCCCTCAATGAGTGCAATAGGCTCTGTAGCCTACGAAGTTGGCGGAACCAAAGCAGCACAGCACGACTGACAAGGTCCGAGCAGAGTTGAACCTCGCTTTCACGACTAGGTCGAAGAAGTGGTGGTTGTGGTAGTCTACGTTGGGGTCGAAGTCGTGTTCCACGTCCCCAGCAAGCAGTGGGGAGGGCAGTGTGCGAATTGTGATGGAGGTGTTGATCAAGGCTGGCCTCGTAGAGCATGTCAGTCGTTGGTGAAAGGGGAATGTGACCGGGATCGAAGTGGGAGTGCCAGGCATCAATCTGCACGTCATCCCAAGGGATCTGTGACGGTTGTGGCCAGGCCCAGTAGGAAATGGCACGGTCAGGTGGTGTGAAGGTAGCCGAGAGCGCTCCATGATCGGAGAACCATGTGGTGAAGGTGGTTCTGGTGAAGTAGGCCGCAAGCTCAGGAGAAATGTAGATGCGGTCCGGGCTGGAGATGCCTCTGTATGTGTTCTGCGGGGCGTGTCCGGAGAGCCGGGCGTGAAGAGCTTGTATCTCCTCCCAGCCGGCTTGTCGCCACGCTTGAAGTGAAGGGAGGCTCTCCGGGTGGTTGAAGTCTCCTGCCACATATCGCAGCCCATGGCTGCCAAGTATGAATTCCTCCGTGATGGCCTGCAGCATGCCCTCGGTGAGGGTACGGGCGTTTGGCCAGCTTGGGCTTGTTGGCCATGCGTACAGGTTGATGCTGGCGATCTGGATGTTGTCGATCCAGAACCGTGTGTGCTGAAGACGTCCCAGCTGGTAGTAGCTGTCGAGGTTGGGAGTGCGGATCGGCTGGAGTGGAGCGTCTGCAAGCTGCATCACTCCTGTCCAAGTTCCAGTGGTGTGGGAGCCTGTCCTGAGAGGCGCAGGAGCTCCATACGTGGTGCGTAGACGCCGATTCTCGTTGGTATTTGAGTTGTCGGTCAAAGGGGCGGATGGCGCCGGCAGCCAAATGGGTCTCACTGACATTCCAGATGCCTGGTGCGAGTGAGGAAATGTACAAGGCCTTGCCGTTGAGGCCGGTTGGGTTGGTGGTGCCGATGGTGAGAGTTGGGCCAGGATTCTCAGCCTCACCATGTCGTCGAACCTTGATTGCAGGTTGTGCAGAAGTGGGCGGCACGCACCGCCATGGCTTGCCCGACCCGAT